ATACAGCTTGGAGGATTTCAGAAATTACTTGACTTCTGTCAGGCTTGCCATAGATGTTTGTATCTTCCCCTGTTGATCCTACTGTTTTCCTAGTCTGGTCTGACTGCAATAGTTGCCTTTCTAAGGCTTTCCTGGGGAGTTATCATTTGTGGAAGCACAGGATGTGTGTGACAGAGGAAGAAGGTTGACAAGGTTGACTCCACAAAATAGGTCAGGTATCCTTTTTCCAGGGTCTGAAACAGCTCTCCCTGGTCTTGTCTGCCTCTGACATCCCAAACATCTCCCCTCTTTTTCCTCTAGTAACCACCCACCTCTCTGGTTTTGGTGTTTGGGTGGTTTGGTTGTTTGTTGTTTGTTTTTTTTTTGTTTTTTTTTTTTTTTTTTTTTTGGTTTGAGTTTTTTTATTTTTTTTTTTTTGAGAGGAGGTGGTTGAAACATCTGCTGTTTCTGTATCTGAGGTACAGGATGTGCCTATGAATGTATGTTTATAAGTGACATAATTTATTTTAATCTAGTGGGTTTTTTTCCCCCTGCACTAAAGTAACGGTTAAGACCTTAAAGGATCAAGGACCTCTTAGCACAAGGCTTTCTGTCTTGAAGATTCCTGTCTCAAAGACTGCACTGTTTGTGTCCCTGAAATGAAATAGATAAACAAAGAAAGTGTGTGCTGCAAAAAAAGAAAAACGTTTGGATAGTTAGCAGTAATTTCAGGATGCTGTGCATGGAATTTATCAGTGATGTGTGCAACTGAAAAGTCAGTTTTCTGTAACAGTTTAAATACCAGCAGTTTTGTAATTAAAGCTGTGACAATCAGAAATTATTATCTGATGCTGACATAAGTTTGGCTCAATTTCTTTCTCTGACTACTCTTCTTTAAAACTCCTTTTGACTTAAATGGTAGGTACAAAAATTATGCACCCCTCTGTAGCAGTATGCTTGCTTGAGAACATAAGTATGGATTGGTGGCTAGAAGCAAGTTTTTCTATGTGTCCTAGATGATTCCCTGTGGTTTTGATGGCATATGGCTTTCATACTTTCTGCTTCAGATGGTGTGTAGTGCTGCTTTGTGTCTTGTACCTTAGAATTGACTGCAGGAGCAGATTAAGTGAATCTATAAATAGTTTCTTGAACTCTTCCATGGCGTAAGTATTGCTCTTTACTACCCCAGACATATTGGGCACATTAATTTGTCTTCTTTTATGGTGTAAGGAGGGAGGGGTTCATTCTCACCTGTTCAAATACTTCTAGTTACGTGTGAAAAAAATCCCTATCTATAACAGATGAAATTGTGGTAGTGTAAGGAAAGCCTCTGGTGGGTATTAAACCAGCTGGTATTTGTACGTGTTTCACATTACAGTTTGAAGTATCAACCCGGGGAAGCATGAGTTGGGTCATTGCATGCTTGGGGTTTATCTAGCAAATCACAGCAACAGAAGCAGTGTGATGACCCACTTAGAATGACATGTTCAATCTCTTCAGTGTTCCCCATCTGCAGTGCTGGTTCCAGTTGTATGCTTAGCTCAGTGTTGAGAAAAAAAATCTCGATGCAAGTGGCTGAAGGTTTGATAATTTTAATATAGCAGTCTATATCTTTGGTTCTTAAGTGGCACTTGTAGAAAGTCTTGAAATAAAATTACTCCATTTTATTTTAATGTAAGACAGCCAAAAAGTCTTGCTATTTAAATAGCAAACTACCGTTCCAGTCACTTGGAGCTAGAGCTCTGCATCTAAAGTGGACACACATGAATACAGGACCCTCTTGCAAAGGGAAACAGTGGCTCGTGACAGAAAGGTGAATCCCCTCCTTTTCTGGGGGAAGTATAAAGAGTCACTGTATGTAACTCTCTGGTAATTCTTCACTGGTAGAAATAAATAATTACATTATTCTTGGGATGTTTTTAAAGTGGTTTACTGATTTATCTGATGAATGGAAAATGTAGGAGGATTACTTTGCTATTCGTTTATGCGGGTGATGAAATAATGGTTTCCAAGTTTGTTATGTGTTGGCAGCAGGAAAGATAAATTGTTGAGATGTGAGTGTCTGTACTGAGGATAAACCTAGCAACGCATTTCTGGTTGCCAGTCAACACTTCCCTCCCCTACCCTGGTGTCACTTGTGACGTAATGCCATCCTGCTGTAGCAGAACCCTCTGTGCTCCTGATCTGTAATTAACTGTGATGTCACTATACAAAGGCTGCTTAAAAAATTGCTATAGGATAGTTGTTATAGGCATTAAAGCTATTTTAGTGAGAATGCTTTCTACTTTCTGGAAATGTAAAATAAGTCTCTTACCACAAAACTTTGCTCCTTTGTGACCCCTGAGGAAACAGAAGTTAAATACTCAAAGGCATAATTCTTAATACATTACACATGGGATTTGCATTGATGCAAATGAAACAGGGGCTGGGAGTCCCAGGTGCAGGTGCACAGTGTAACCAACCAGCACTTGCCAGTTAGGTACTAGAGAATGGAACTATCTGCTCTGTTCTGTCATGGGAGCTGTTAAAGAAGTAGTTTCTGCTCTCTGCCTGCACTCATACTTTTCAATATAACAAAACCAACCCAAACTGGACATTCAGTTGGCTCAGGGCTTCTCTCTTGTTCAACTTTAGTTTCAAGCTAACACATAAACTATTAGCACTACTGTGGGATCTGACTTCAAAGGAGTTTGCTGTTAACTGGAGCGAAGGCAGGATTTCACCATGTAACTATTAATGCTGTAAGGGATTATACTTAGCAATGACCTAAGGTCCTTCTAGAGCTACTGACTTCATGCTTCCAGCTTCCCCATGGGCTCACGCACTGCTTTTTCAAATGCACAGGAAGCACCTCGTGTTCCTGTCCTGGTTCTGTATATCAGCATTTAAAAGGCAACTAGTAAATGCCAGACATTGCAGAATGACAACATGCTTTGCTTTGGTGTGGGTGACAGAATGTGAGACCCGCTAGGGTGACCCTTTGCTTAGTTTGAGACATAGATCACTACCCTGAACTGCTCATGCATTAGTCTCCCTGGCTTGTTGGTATGTTATGGGCTTTCTTGTTTTAAGAAGCCTTTACCTCAACAGCAAATACACAGCTCAATGCAGAGTAGGCACTGAGATGAACTGGTTTTTAGGGATGGTGTGGTTTTGTTACCTATTCATCTGTTATGTAGCACAACTCTGTAACAGACTTGATTTTATTGGACTGGCACTGACTTTTCTTAGTCTGCTAGCACAGCTGCTAAGTCATAGCATTAAAAAAAAAATCCTAATAGAAATTAAGATGCAGGCTACATGGGCTGATAAGAGAAGAAATTGGTTTGATCTCTAATTTTCAGAAAAAATCTGTGAATATCTGAGACTTTTAATTCATTTATTCTGGTCTCTTCCTAAATATTAAACTGGCTGGCCTCTAATTCCCCAGGTCTCTCTTCCTCTGGCCTTAAGGACAAAGCACCACCTAGGGTCTCCTTCATGAGTTTATAAGGGCCTATACAAGAAAACTCAAAAATCCTTCAGTTTGTTCCTTAAATAGTGTAGTTGGGATTTCAGCAGACGCAGTAGAATTGAATATATTTGGTTTGTGTGGATATAACTTAAATATTTCTCTACTTTTTGATTTAAACATCAACTGCATTCTTTTCCTTAAGTGTCAGTTACTTGCTATTTTCACTGCAAAGGCCTATATTTTTGCTTTTTTTATCCACTTTTTGCAATTAGCAGAGGATTCTATTTTACCCCTTAAACACTCAGACCCTTAACTACCCAGAAGGTGTTATTAGGCTAGTTTTTATAGAAAAAAGGCTATTAAAGCACAGTACTCCCTATTTCTGACAATTCTCACAAGTATTGGCGCAAAGCAGTACTTCAGTGATGTCCTGAAGCCCACGCTGGGTCACCTAGCAAACAGAAAGGACAAACCACACAATGTTTGATTGGTATTTGCTTGTCAGGCTGCAAGAGGAGATGCATGTGGTGACTTTAAGCAAACTTAGCATAGGAAGAACACATTTACTTCAGTGATACTAAATTAGGCCTCGTCCAGATTGAAGGCGCTCTCAACATTGACGCTTCTTATACTGACGAAGGAGTTCCTGCTGGAGTTTTAACAGCAGTCCCACTTTCAGCTACACACAATTTATTTAGAGGTGTTGATGGTTTTCCATTTTCCAGCCCAGCAATCGTAAAGACAAAACTGAGCATGAATTGGACTCAAGGAAATGGGTTATTCCTGTCCAAATGCAGGTTGCTGTTGTACTGGATTCGTCAGTGGTAGAAACACACCACACACAGCATTTCAGAGGGGACAGCCTGGCAAGGGCAGCCAGTGTGGTGTGGTGAAGCAGGACCAAAGAGCTACTCTGAGGCACTGGCAGTAACTGTGTTACCAGTCAGTGAAAAAAAAAACCCAACAAAACCCAAATATCACCACCCCACCCTTCCCCCCAACACACAATCCCTAGAAGCTGCTGCTTTCATATTTTGCCTCTTGTTGAGTGGGTTTTTTTGACAATTGTTCCTTGACAGACGGATATTCCAAGTGTAAGATGTTCCCCCAATATCAGTGTTTTCCTTAAAGCTTGTTCCTATGTTGTCACTTCACATGGGAGTTCTTGTTTTGCTTTTGTTGAAGGATTAGGATGTGGGAACTTTCACCAGGCATAATGAGTTTAACATAATGGGTTACCATTGTGTATTTTACCTTTGTGCTTCTGGAGTGAAGGGTTGTTCTGGCAACAGAAGAATTATCTCAAATTATCACACGCCACGCAGAAAGTCCATAACGATGCTTTTGCACTCAAGTTGCCTTGGGGATAATGACATAGAAGTGGACCAACTGAGAGCCCTGAGGCCAATGCTAGTTGCCCATATATATAATTGGTGTATGCTTGATGGTGGGGTGAAAAAAAAATACAAGGAGAAACTATTTGCATACAAGCTTGAAGAGTTAAGCACTTTGCAATACTTAAGTAATATATTACATGTATTTTGAGAAATGATGGGGGAAACAGTTGTGTACTCCAAGCAAAATTTATTAGAAGTCTATTCAAGAAAAAAAAAACAAACACAGAGACCTTTTGCTTGTAGGAATTCAAAGTCAGTTACCTGAAAGTCAGGTATGAAAAACCTGCATTTTTCTAAAATCAGATACAGAGTAGAAACAGTACTTTTTAAATATCACAGGCAACAGATATTTAAGTCTTCAATCATAAATGGCATCAAAGATAGGTATTAATTTCACAGCAAAGCTGCATGCAGATCTAGTTTAAAATTGAAAGCCTTTGAATATAAAGCTTTTGCCATGAAATCTGCAATAATAAAGGTATGCTGCACAAAGATGTTTCTTTACCTTTGTCTTAATGACATTTCTCAGTAATAAAGACATATGTACATTTAGATTTGGCTGGTAAACCATATTTTAATTAATAAAATTTTGCATAAAATGCTATCTTACAGAATTGCACTATCCAGATGTACTTATGGTAAACAGAGCAAGAAAAGAAAAATGCATTGAAATGTTCTGTATGTAAAGAGGGCAAAGATCAAATAAGGAACTTATTTTTTTTAAAAATCAACAACCAAATGGCTCTGTACAAAAAAGCAAACATATGTACAAAATGCTACAGAGACTACATACATTTTGATAATTTCGATCCTTTACCCATGAGAAATGCAGCAGAAGCTTTTGCCATCTATAAGGTGCTGAAGAAACCAAATCTGAAATTTTATTTTATAAAGCCATAGCCATTATCGTCCTGTGCCTTAATTTTATTTGCTAATTTTATGCTTACCTTTGCTTATGGAAAATGTATGTTTTCAAATACTTTGTTTCATTCAGGAAAAAAAAAGAAAAAAAACACCTCTAAAATGTATCGGTTTTAATACTTGTGACTTTTTTTTCTGTCTAAATTCCTAAAAAAAATGTGTAACTTGGGTTTCATTAATATACATATACAAATATAGTGAAGTAAATCAGTACATGATACTTGTGAATATTTTTCAGGTGGCTATGTTAGGAAAAAAACCCCAAACCCAACAACCCATTGCACTAACACTGTTTACTTTCTGCTTATTAAAATTCCTGATATGTAAAAACACTAACCTCTCACATTTCATGTTGCTTACTATCACAACATTTTGATTGCAACCATTTAGTATCAGACATCAGTAGCAGGTTATTATTGTCTATGCTTATACCACTGTCTGTCTCTTCCTTAAATCCTCTTTCCCAAGTCTTATTGCCTTTTTCACTTCTCACCTTTTTACAGAAAACACTACAGGTTTGTTAGGGGGAAAAAAAGAAAAAAAGATTTAGCCAATACCATTGCACCCGTTCAGAACACTTGCAGCTCTTCCATTTTTCACTATGCTTGCTTTGAGATTTTACAATCACTGTGCATATGTTACAGCATACAAGTGCAGGCAAACAATCTATATTATAGTTTGTCATACATTGTAAACCAGTACAATAGGCAAACCCGTGATACAGCAAGTGGAAGCAAAAAATGCTGCCAAGCTAGTAAGAATGTGGAAACTCAAACAATTTTTTTAAAAATAGTAAACAGCAACTTTCCCCTGTATTACATGCATGCTGAAAAAATCCCACCAGACTTCACGGTAGTACCACAAATGTTCTAACCAAGCATAGCTTTTTCCCCCTTCCCCCCACCCCCCAAGGCAATTCCTCTGTGTACCTGTCATCAGGCTTTTCCTATTGTGTTTCACATAAAAAGACTTTAAAGCAGGGAGTGTTTAAATGCTGAAATGATTCCTCTTGTCTCAGAAAAGCTTAGTTATTCACTCTGTGGTCGTTGCTGTAATACTGCTGGAACGGTTTGGCGGGTGGGATGGGATGAGGATGAACTAGATGGCCTCTATTTGAGACTGCAAGCAAGAAAACAGAAGGCCAGCGTAGCATGTTTTCTAGCAGCTTTATGCAGATGTGTTGCAGAGATGCAGCATAAATAAGTAGAAAAAAAAATTTCACAGCCTCTTGACATAGTTTCCAGGGAAAGTACCAAAGAATTTGGTTCTTCTCGAGGTTCCTGAAATTAGAAGCAATAAATGAAAGATGGGAATAACAACAAAAATTCACTATGTAAGCATGGCCTTAAAATTTTTATGTTTAATATTGCACAAACAGAAATATCTACAGTTTCTTATGATATAACTTCAAAAAATTATTTTTAATTTCATTTGTGAGTTGTGAGTTTTAACAAAGTATAAATGCAGGAAGCGACAAGCAAATGAAGAGGCATATTTGATTAAATTGTTAGGTCTTGATTAAAAGCTGTTCTAAAATTCTTGGTACAGAGAAATAATTTAATTTCAACAACATCAAGTCTATTTAAATAATTTGAATTTTTTTAAATGCAAAGGACTAGTCAGATGATTACGTTAGCTACATGTATATGGGCGTTTATGAAATGATTAAGCTACTTTACCTAGACCTGGTTATGAAATCTTTGTTTGTTCAGTAATACTTGGTTCTCACAAGTAGTCAATTCTTTAGATGTATTCATGTGAGTAAGATTTAAATTACCTGGTCTTTATGAAGAGAACAGTAATACATAGGCCATTTTGTGTCATAAATGACAACAATGCTGTACAACAAACTGCAGACGTGTCAGTTTGTGTCCACCCATTTCAAAAGATGAAAGGACAAAGTCACCCACTAATTTCAGTGGATTTTGGTTGGGATTTCTCCTGATAAAGCCAGGTTTAGGTTTATTACACTGAATAACAAAAATTAAGTTGTTTAAAAGCCACTTAACAAAGAGGGTAGCAAAGGTTAGGGGGGAAAAAAAAAAGAAAAAAGCAACCAAATTAAAACATACCCACAAACCATCCATCATCACATTTTTCCATCACATCAATGACATCTCCCTCTCTGAGCTCCAATTCATCTTCGTTCCTAGGAGTATAGTTATATAGAGCCTGAAACCTTAAATAGGACAAATGATGCATTTTAAAAAGAAGTAAGAGTTCCTTGCACCTTTGCTGAAGTAAAGGAGCTGGCTTAAACATTAACTAACAACTAACACTTCTTGCAAATAGACGGGAAAAGGATTTATTTTGCCTGATGGACTTGAGAGTTAAGAATTTACAGTAAATTAAGAAAAACTTCATTGGAAAGATCTGACACTAAAGACTGGGTTTGCTCCTCAACCAGTGGCTTTGAAAATAGATTTATTTTTTTAGCATTATTTTATAGTTGAGTCACCAAAACTGAGGACTATTTATTAGAGGGGAGCCTACAGACATATTGGCACTGTAACCCTCCATGATCAGCATCTGAAACTGTGGCTCTGACCTTAAGCTCTCTGAAGCAAGTACCACCAGCACAAGTGAGGTGTCTGTGGAGGAGGGTGCCCAGGACAGCAGCTCACACACAGTCACTGTAACTGAGGGACCTCCCTGAGCTCCTCAGCTGCAAGTGGTGTGGCAAGCCTTTGCTCTGATATAAAAGAGGTGCTCTCCTCTATGGAGAAGGTGGAGCATAATTGCTATTTGGAAACATACAGGGTTAACCTGTTCCCTGGTTAAAGAGGTTTGAATCAAATCAGGGGACAAATGCATGGAAACTCAAACAGTATTCAGACACCGACCTGTGTCTCCCCCCCGGCCAGGAGCTGCAGTTTGCAGATGTTAGTGGATAAATGGAAAGAGGTATGAGATTCCTTGACAGCTTTTAATTGAGGTTTTTTGAATTGAAAGAATGGCAATAAACTCTCACTAGGGGGAACTGAAGGCACTTGGGCTGACAGCCCACAGAAAGATTGCTGCATAAGCCTCTGAGTCCTGCAGAGTCAGAATCTGCTTTTTTTTTTTTTGTAAGCAACTGTGCCCCATATATGACTGACTGCATATAAAGAAGCAGGGTATAACTGCAGAAATTGTACAAAGGAAATAGTTTTAATTTCAAAATACTGAAGCAAAACATAATCATATCCATTCCTTCCCTCTTAACAACAGTTCACTGAGTTTTAAACCTTAATGCCATTACACTTCCCCCCAAAAAAACAAAATAGCTTGCCAGTTGATGTGTTGGTACTGAGTATTTCATTTAGCTCTGTACCATTCCAGCAGTTTTCATGGCTTAAATGAGATGTTTATTTTAGTAAAAAATTGATGTTCCTGAAAGTCCAACTTGAAAATCCTAAATATAGAGTGGTGCTAGGTTTAGTTTAATTATGGTCTTCTTGACTAAACTACACTTATTTTTCACATTGCTGCTTTGAACAAAAAATGAAGATACTGTTCCAAGAAAATAAAGATTTTAACTTAATATCTCATGACTGGCAGTTATCTCCCCAAGTCTGAAAAGTCTCTTTTTATATTTTAATCGCACTAACAAAATGGAACAAAACTGGTTGTTTAAGCAATTACCTCTGGTAAGTTGTGCAGCAGGAGTAACAACAATCTGTGCAAAAACCTAAGTGGCACTAACAGTTTCTGTTATGCTTATCATCATTCCAGGAAAGCAGAGCTATGATGATATTCAAAAAAATTATTAAATGCAGCTTTCAAGGGGACAGGAGTTGCAGATGTAATGTATCATGAATAGGATTCAAGCCAATTACTTACTCAAGTACAGTAACAAGGATGTCCCAATTAGCACTCTCTGTACTTTTGAAATTGAATCTTAGTAATTTCCAGATAATCCATTTTAATAACTCCAGTGTATTAATTTCATTCTCTCTGTGCTAATCTATGACTTTCTTAAGTATGAAAACTCTACTATCATTAACAACACTGACAGAATACATATTCAAAGCAAAGAATGGTTGGTTGGCAATTTAAATATATTTCTATTTTTAATTTTAGGAATAAATAACTTTAGTCATGAACTACTTAAACAATATCGAACAAAATGAAATAGAAAATTATTGCTTACAAAACTGAGTTAGGTGCTTCAGTATGCTCAACAATACCAACAGGAGCTATTAGTTTCAGTGAGATTAAAACTAAAACATCCTATTTTAATTATATATTATCTGTGGCATAGCTGTTTGGTAACTTTTTGCCACTCTCTTCTGTCTTCAAGTGACTAATAGGTAAACTTTAAAATATTTTTAGATGTTAAGCCTTAGCTACATTTTTGAGAAATTATCTAATAGGGCATATGCTGAAGTGCTCTGATGCTAGAGGAAGAATGGCTGCTGGTTTCAATGATCCTTGAAACAGGACCCAAATGCAAGACTTGAGGAAAAAAAAATATCTTAAAACAATCTTGCACTGAACTTGCATTTTAACAGTCAGCACTGAAGTATCCCAAGCATTTAAACTGTTTGTGAAAATAAGACTTGAGATCTAGGTTCTTCTTCAGTTTTCAGAAACACTTTCCTGTATCTCATATTTGAATTGCACTTGTAAATCACACCAAAAAGTGTGAACCTGTGTTCCTGTGATCAACATATCGAGGGTTTTTTTTTCTCTATTCACATCCATAACTGTTTCTGAATAATTTGCTTCAAGTCAGTAAAGCAGATGAGTTGAATCAATGCTAAATCTTAAACTGTCATTCTGCTGAGATGTAAAAATGGAGAGAATAAAGAAGAGTCAAATTTTACTTTTACAAAATTATTACTCCTTTTAAGTATAGATGATGGGAAAGTTGTCATGTCTGTCTGCATTTGATGTAAATTAAACAATTAAGGCTTTGCCCTCTGAGACCTTCTTCGATATCTTCCTACATCATGCATTTTTCTGTAAACAGTCTCCGAAATCTCTTCATAATTGTACTTGGCAAGTTAACAAATTATCTGATGATGTGCTGGCTATTGCTTAAATGCTAGGTTTTGGTTTAATAGACAATAAGTATACTTACGGTTCCCCCCCACTGTGTATGTTTTCATGAGAAAGCACAGGGCGCTGTGGCTGAAATGAAATGATTTGAAATGTAATAAAGATTTGCAGTTTAAGGTCCAAATAATTGGATAGGGGTGTGACACACAGTTGCTCAAGAGTTCATATTCTACCTTGTGTAAAACAACGGCCCATTCTGTTCCCCCTCCAATAAATTCCTAAGAGACATGACAAACAACTAAATCTTGGCAGGTTTAAAGATCTGATTTTTGGAGGCCATAATAACAACTAAACAAACTGTGAACTTTATCAGTCCATTCTATTTATAGTACAGTATAAAGCTGGAATAGAACCTTTCAGCCTCTTCACTGTGAAACAGAAATAACATTAGAAAAATCAGATGCAACGGCTGAACATCATACATTCTTTGCGTGAAGTATATTTTTAGATAAGCGGAAAAAAATCTCCTATACTTAATGGCAGAATCCAGAATATTGATAGACAAAAACCATACCAATTTACATTACACACACACAGAGTACTAAGTTGGCAGGCATAACATGCTATGCTTTAATTACTTCTGTTTCATCTCAAGCCATGCAGGCTGTTGGGAGTCGAAGAACAAAAAAAATACATTTAATTGTGTGAAAATAACAATTAACACTTTTACTTCAGCAGAAAAAGTAGTTTGTATTTCCAGTGCAAAGCTTTATGAAAGGAACTATGTTCCTTCTTAATGGAGCATTACCCACCACTAATATTCAATAAATCTGGATGCAATGGAAATGAAAAATATTAACCTCCTACAAAAACCATATCCTGCTCAGAAAGTCATTGACTTATACTGATTAGAATCTGGCTGGGGCCAGAAACAACACAGGAGCAGGTGCTTGGAAAAGCTCAATGTGAGTGGGGATCATATTTGCTGATGACTGAGGATGCCTTAAGATCATGATGTAGAGACAAGTCCGGGAACCATATCTGCTTTAGAAGTGTGGATATCAAATACTGCTCACAGCACTTTCTTTCATGAATTGAGCAAACTGTAACCTGATCTTTAAGCCACGGAATTTGTCTTATTGCCCCATGATTCTCTCCTGATTTGCTTATTTCAGTTCACTCTTGAAGATGATAGAGTCTTCAATGAGAGAAGGCAGCAGTAAACAGCCCAGAGACTGATAAAAGAAACTGAATAGAAGAACACTGTACATAGTTTGTTTTTTGTTTGTTTGTTTTTCTCCCTTTTCCCTCTCAACATCTCCAGAAGACATTAAAGAAGTTAAATTTCTTTTCATCAGTTTGTATGTGTACATGCAGAAAGTATTGTGAACAGTCTACACTTTATCTTTACAGACTATAGAGTGTAACTTTTAAAAGGTTCCTAAAAATGCAGGCAGGAGAATTACAGACTTTTAATTTGTATTATTGAATGCTAAGTGGGAAAGAGGTTTTCAAAGTAAAAAAAAAGAATTTTCTATACTCTTTACTGTCTTCTCTCCCTCATTTAACTCTCCTCTGCCGGTGTACAAAAAGTTCTGTAATTTTTATCAAAGAATCCAACAGTAAAGATTATAAATTAAACAGTTCTTAGTAAACCTATTTTAATGGTTGGCTTGTCAAACAAGAAGAAAACAGTCCATTGGGCAGAATGCTTTGTATTTAGACTGGAATCTGACCTTATTTTCTGCTAATCTTTCATCAGGTCTGTAACTGAGCTGACTGCCACAGATAGTCAGAGATGCAAAAGAACTCAACTAAGGTTAAGGATTTTTCCTAAAATGAAAGTCAACGTCCTAAAGAATGCTACAAATGATACAATGCTTTGAACATAATACCAAGACAAGAAGAAACTGGGTAGGTCAGTATTATCTTCTTTTTCTGCATATGCTTCATAAAATGAATTAACTACTGTAGAAGCAGATAATAAAAATCAAGGTGACTAAAGATTTTCAACTGTATGTTATTGCCACAGAGAAAACTTTGACAAAATGACAATCTTGTGAAAATAGGGTGAAGTAAATGGTGGTATGTCTGAAGAGAGGGACCTTGGAGTTCACTCGCTATTTGAATACATTCCACAATAATACCCCAGCCAACATCCAGAAGCTTTCTCCCTGTTTTCTTTCCCTAAGCTCTCATTCCCATATACAGTTACATTAGCTAGATAGGGGACTGTTGCAAAGACTATTTCTAGTTTTCAACTACTCCTCAGTTTACTAGAATATCCTGTTTCCTGGAAAATACTGCAGGATCTAATCCCAAAAACATTAAATGTGCAATCAAGTCAATGGTCCCAGTTGTATCCCTGATTTTCATGCATGATTAATACGCCCTTGCATACAATAGTTCCGTACAGTCCTGAGCATGCAAATTAGGTGCATGATTTGTGCTCTTGTAGTTTTGGAATTAAAGTAATAAATACATTAACACATTGACCAATACACTTCTCTTAACATACTGGTTACATGTCATTAATCTGGAGGAACATGCAAAATTAATATAGGGTTTAATCCCTTTTTTATGGATCTCACTCCTAGTTGGACTTTCTGTGAGATGATGTTGGTCCACTACTACAAGAATCCTGGCCTTCCTATCTATGATTGAACCATCTTTCTTCATTGATGAGGAAAGCACTGTCCCTTCATACCTGGTAGTAAACACAGGCTTGCCAAAAAGCCAAGCTTTGAAAGTTACATAAACCTACATATCTTAAACTAAAATTCAAATTTTAAAAAGGGAGCCACGAGAAAGATGATCACGTAAAATCAGGAAGAACAGTGTGGAAAACAGTTCATCCTATTAACTGCTTTAAGAGCCATATGTTAAGAAACCAATGCAAAGAATAATTCAGTCCTAAAATGAAAGTAAAATATAACCCATAAATTCTCATTCTCACAATAGTTTAGGTTGTGTAAGTTTTTTTTTTCCTTTCCATAGTGCAGATCACCTTTTTGAGGAAAGTCCATGCAAACTCTAAACAACCTGACTTTCTGGCTAGGTAAAAATGTTACAGTTATGTTACAGACAGGAAGGGAAAGGCTAAAGGGTATAAAAGGCTGGAATGACACTGCTTGGATAAAGAGAACAGTATTGAGTGAACATCATACCACAGCAAAAAAGCATTTTGAAAAATAAGGACATGGATTCAAACCTGAGAATTCAGTCCATATACATGCAATAAATTTTTGACTCTTGGAAGCTGTAAAGCTTTGAAAGAGAGGAGTAATTTTAATAAAATCAGACTAAATATAAAGAGCTTTGATCTCTTACATCTTGTAGCACTGGAAATACCATGCAGTACTGCAGAGATACAATACACTAATGGATTTATATAATGAGTTTTGGCACACACAGACCTGTTGCCTTTACTCAGACATAGCACAGAAGCACAACAGGAAGAAAACAGAGCATACTGATAGTATTGAGACACTTGGGCAAAAGCAAAATACTGCTAGACACTGAGCTCCTTGTCCATGGAAATGCTGTTATTGCACACTGGGCATCCAGTACCATACCCTGTGTGAATAGCTGTGACCTCTGACAGGTGAGCTGCAGGATCTCTTAGTCATCACTGGGCTACGAGGAGGTTTACCCATAACAAATCTCTCTCTCTTTAAATTAGCCTAGAAGAACCACAAAAACTATGTCAAGTGAGAGTTTAAGAATGAAGCATCATGGGATTTTTGTTCCTTCATTCATACATGCAAACCCAATGTGCTTTTCTTGATAACAAAATGCAATGAGTTACACGTAGAAATACGTACTATTAGTACACAGTATTTTCCAAGTTTTGCTGCTCTGGCACATGCCCTTACATGTAACAGTTATTCCACGTGTACCCCTGAATCAGCTCAGTTGGTAACACAGAAAAGCTCAACAGTATACAACAAATGTTGTAATTCCTTCCTGTTACACAGAACACTTCCCTTAAATTTGCATTGAGAAAGCAAGTAAATACTTGGTGGAATGTACTTCAAGAAAATATCCTCGTTTTGTTAGCATCACTATAAATCAGAAAAATATTTGTCAGAATTCAGTTCTTAAGGGGTGTGTGTTCAGCAAATGTGAATTCTCAGGGGCAGGGGTGAGCTGGGGGGAATGTGAGGAGAGTGGAGTGATGATACTGAAAACCTCTTCTATGGTATTTGTGAGTGTTTGTCAGTAGAGTGTGACAAGATAGAAAAACAGCCTCCTCTTAGGAGAGGGGTGAATAACAATACCAGCAACAACAATAACAACAAAAAAGGATACCAAGAGAGACCAAGGAGCTAGAAAAATGTCAGCATTTCTCCTTGGGACATGTTTTCAGAATTCTTCTTTTGGAGGACACCCTCCCACCAACATGGTGCAAAGTGACATTTCCCACCCATAGCTCCTCGTATTCCACTGTCCAAATCCCTGGTCATGCTTTAGATTTGAGCCACATTCCAAATATATTTATGTACACACATATACGTATGTATACGCATGCATTTTTACATCAACAAAAATTACAAAAGTATCAGTATACAGCTTCAAGAACTCTCTGAAGAACCTCCCTTCACTTATGAAATTTGAGTCCTCAAAATATCTTGTGTTCTTTCTGCTGTGTCAGTAGAGAGCAGACCTTAATGATGGGCAACATGCATAAAGAGAAGAGGATAGGAACTGTCCTGTCTTCTCAAGCCCAGCCTGGCGACTAAGCAGCAAGAAATGATGCCAGCCAAAACCTGCTTCCACTTATTTTAATCCAACTCTCTATCTTGGTGATGTAGTCAGTGTTGACTGCTGAAAAAAGTTTGCCTACCCTTGGGAGGAAAAGATTTATCTCATTTTAGAAATACTGTACAAAAAAATCTGTCATTGGTAAGAGTGCATCTAATAATTTTGAAAATTTTCAAATAGGTAAGTATATACTGATTAAGTTTATAAAGGAATCTGTTCCTGAGATTTAAAAAATAATCCAGATTTGAAATGGTTTGAAAACAATAATTAAGACTGAGAACTCTCTAACAAGACCCCAGACCTTCCGTTCTTCTGGGTACTCGGGCTCTTGTGTCTGTAAGATGGAATCATCCCCCTTGGTTAATTAATGTCTTGCCTCCTGTCTTGTCCATTTAAGAGCAATACACTGCCTAGGAGGTTCCCTGGGGCAGATATTTTAACTCTCAAACCAGATATTCCTTCTGTTTATTTTCAGCTGGGATTAACATACCTTGCTCAAACGAGCAAAGAATATGAGGGTCACCTAAAAAGAATTTCAGTGTAGGTGAGGAATTTTCTGAATTTTGCTCCTTAGGCTAAGCAAAAGCATCAAAAGCACTGTGCCAACTGATAAATTATTAAAAGTTGCAAAAACAAGTGCAGTACTCTGTTTTACGCTTTCTTTGAGGTGGAATGTACCTAAGCCCATTACAGATTCATGCCCAGGAAAGAAGCCTTATGTCTCTTCCCTATATCCAAAAAATCCCAACAGATCTGGTGAATCTTAAGATTTCCTTAAGTCCATTATGTCTATGTTTTCTGTGAATGCATGTTGTAAGACAGGACAGAGTAAAAAAAAAAAAAAAGGCAGATTTCTGGCATAGATGTAATGATCAGCCTTCTAGGATAGTTTCTTTTTGCATGACGTTTTCCCCTTTTCATGAGCAAACGAATTCCCTGGAAGTCAGCACTGGAAATTAACTTTGTCTACCTAGAGCAACTCTTCAGTTTTCATATTTCTGCCACAGAGCTGCAATGCTGACACAAACTGTAATCCTGAAGAGGGAATAATCTTTGTCCAGTCCTTGACTAACAGAATTGGTATTTAGAACATGACTCTGCAGTGATGCTTTACTGTGAAATTTATGACTGTTCTTCCAGGCATTGCCTTGAAATTGAAAACACAAACACAAATGTTACCTAGTTTCTGCATACTTGAATACAATTCTGTTCTGTTCAATTAAATGAGTTACTCTGTTGTCCTGGTATTGACTAGAAACTGAGTTGAAGCTTTCTGCTTCCCTGTCAGTGGTATCTCCTTAAGCCATTTCATTGTATCATAATAGTTACAGTTTTACCTTGTTTCATTTGAAGAAGGCTTATTTTAATACTCCATGTGTTATGTTATTTAATATTAGTAAACAAATTAGTACATTTGAAAAGATCAAACTCAGTGTTAGCCTTGCAGTTATTTAATATACATGAAGATTTGCAACAATCCATAATCAAGAGGTGCAGTTACCTTTAACTGTGGTGAGTCTTTCTCCTGCTGATGTAACGGTTTAGAGAGGAGGGGAGGTGGGAAGGAAGCAATAGACAGGTATGTTGTAGGAACCGAGTGGAAAGTAGGTGCCTTGGCAGAGTGAAGTGGAAGATTAGAAGAAAGGTGGAAAGGAGGATCAGAGTCTTCTGATGTTCCCACAAAAAGTAGAGCTGGCTTAAATGTTTAAGAAAAATGAGAAGTTGTGCTATAAAACCAGCTGTAAAGGATGTCAAATGCTCAATAAGGAGACATGTAACTAATCTGAACAATCACAAATGTCATGCTAATTTTATTATTATTCAGTCTACATTTCTGGGAGAGATTTCTTTTCTCAGAAATCACAAAAATGTTGCCATTTGTGGCCATGGATTTCATCTCTATTCTTACGTTTTTCTCCTGTGTTTTTCAGGTCAAATAAGGGTAGAGGTAGCCTGCAAAATCTTCCTAATTAACTAGTTTTACACTTGGCCAAAAACATACTGTCCTAAGCATCTGATTTGCATGTTGACAGCCAAAGCAACTGCCTGAACAGTCTGTTGAAGTGCTGGACAGAAAAAAAGTCTCTTCTAAAACTTTGCCTAGAAACCACACAAATAGTGGTATTGTGGCATTTAATGGCCAGCACACATTTGGGATAGTTCAGTGATGTGCTGTCCCAAAGAGGAACTGGGGAGGGTTTCAGGAGGAAGCATTTGTCTCACTGCCAAACATAATCTGATCCGTTATTATTAGTCATGTTCTCGTAACAGAGCCTGCTATAAATATATCAGCTGGTGAAGTGACACATGTGAAGCACAAACCACAGGGTCTCTGTAGGAGGCATGTCCCTCCCTCTGGAGAACTGGGGCCCATGTAATGGGACAGTGAGGAAAATCGTTCACTGGCTTTTTACATCAGAAGCTCAATGGCAACCCACAAGGACAGAAGGACCAGCACAACTGATACACTACAGAATTTACAGCAGTGCATACGCTTGCTTCTGAGAAGGGACTATCCCTTAACGCTGACGATTTTTAATCATAGAATGGTTTGGGTTCAAAGGGACCTTAGTGTCTAGTTCCAACCTCCCTGCCATGGGCCGAGACACCTTTCACCAGATCAGGTTGCTCAGAGCTCAAATTTTATCGAATGCAATTGCATAAAGCTGTGCCTGTGCACGATACAAACATGTAAATATAAGAAAAGGCAGAGAATACTTATACTAAGTTATCTGAATAGAGAACCCAGGTATTTCAGAAATTAAAATACCTTATCAATATTTGGTGAATTGTATCCTTCATAATAATCCATAGAGCCTCCTCCACTTGCTACTGGGAATTCTAAACTGTCATGTACCAGATCCTCCTCTATATAGAGTCTTGTCAGTTCTTCTGTTGTGTCTTGTTCTCCTCCGTAGAAATCTGATTCTTGAGGCTTTGACTGATCCCCTATATTAAGTGACAGGTCTGCAGTAAAGATTTCCTCTTCATTTTCAGCATTTGTAGCTAGCACTCTGGACATGGAACCACCTTCATATGGTGAAGGGATGTTACGGATAGCGCCAACATGTTCACCTTCTCTTGTAGTATCTAACAAGTCTCTAGGTACTTCAATAACTAAAGGGTCAATTATACCTCTCAAGTCTTTATCTTTTCCTGATTTGGTATTGTTGCTGACATGCTTATATGCTATGTCATGAGATGAGCTGGCTGAAGATGATACAGAGGTAGATACAAGAAAGGACAGAGGAAGAGCTGTAGAAGAGCTGAGAGACACTTCTGTATTTGGAATAACATGACCATCCTTAACTTGGTGAATGCTATTACCTGGGGATATTGCTACAGTTTGAGAGGTTGACAATGCCAAAGAATTGAGTTCTTCTAAGTCACAAAGAGAACTGTCTGGAACTGATGGAGAAGTTAAGTTGCATGTGCTTGAAGGCGAAACACCAACAGTCCTTGAAAACAAGTCACTAGTGGCAGCCTGGAGAATCTTTTGATCAATGTGTGACCAAGAGGAGGAAAGTTGTCTGGAAAGTGAGGACAGTGCTTGGGAAGGCAACTTCAAAAATAAGAACAACATGGGAATTCAAATAAATAAGCATGACAGAGAATTAGGATATATGTAAACTGAAAAAGAAAAATGTCTGTGTGATCATCTGGATTACAGGGTACAATTTCAGTGACCATGGGTGTCTGAAATCACTACTACATGAATCAGAACAGCAGGAAAGACATTTGAAACATGAAACTGTATCAGGTTTTGGCTTGAGGCATAAATGTCAGGCATTAAGACAGGACTGAATCATTACATTCATGAAGGCAACTTGCATTTGATCTGCTAAAGTTATGTTATTTATGGTGCTCTGTTAGTGAGCCTGTCACAGGTTATTAAATCATACAATTAATATTAACAAAATTTTCCCCGAACTATTACTATTATTTTGAGAATAGCACTTGCAGAAGTACATTTCAGGTGTCATTAAGTATTTCTTTTAAAGTATAAAAACTGAAGTGATTTCCAATTATTCAAATTTAATACTTCTACTTTTTCTTAATACTTCCAGGTAAATGTTTAAGAAACATCTTTAATATATTGCATACTTTTATTAAGGCATGAACAGCTACAGAATGCATTTTTTTTTCAAAAGTAACCTTAGTTCCAAAATGACATCAACATTTGTGAAAGGTACATTCAATTCAAACTGAATGTAGGCAGTCAACAATGCTTTTAAAATAGTGACAGCACAGTATGCAGCAGTATATTTTGAGTATCTTTACACAATATTGATTGAAGTATCCTTCTGGTAAAAGAAACGTCCTTTTCTAAGAATGAGAGACTGGTGAGTCATACGTACACAGCATCAGTAGATATCCATTGCTTCAGTAAATACTGAAAATGCATTTTTGTTACTATTAACCCTCAAAATTAAAACTGAGTGAAAAATATTTTTATCTCATTGTTACAACTATCCAGAATAATTAGATGTAATCTCCAAGTTATCTGGACTACTGGAGACTTTAAGTATTAATGTGCTATTTCAAAAGTCTAAATTAATGTGGCAGAATAGGAAGGTTAATTTACTTACCTTCTGCTTGAGTTTTCTTGAGGCAAATAGCTTTATTTTATAGTTAGACAACCTTTGTTACAGAGTCTTCTGTAACAAAGTAAACAGTATAGACTGATACAACACAGCCTGCTAAAACAGAGTTAGGCTGTTACAAGCAATACTCAGTCTCTTTACCTCATCTTTCCTCTCAAACAAGAGCCTCTAAGATATGGTATTAAGGTCAATAATAATGCAGAAGAGACATTGTCATTTTTTAGTTTCCCATGGCTACAAGCTGCACTAGGTCTAAAGATACAGATGGACCAGGCAAAGCCAAGGACAGCAAAACTTGCTCCTGACTTGTATTGCTTATTTATTTTATTGCCATTAGGCCAGAGAACTTTAGTGCAATTGCTCTAGCAATCTAGTGATATGTGTTAAGAAACTCCAAAGGAATAGGAAAAGTGGTATCAGTAAGTGTAGTCAACTCCAGAACACTTTCAGGGCTCCTGTAGTTCTTCTAGGTAGTCAGGAACAACATGTCTTCTTACATGGTATTGCCATTTCTGAATACAGTTTAATTCAGAAACAAGATGTCTGTCTAAGAGTTTCAGTAGAAGCTTGGAGGTTTTTTTTAAACTTATGCTAGAACCCAATGATGGCATGTTACAATTAAGGTTTCTTCGAATTTAGTCCCCTACAGAACTAATTTAGTAATAACTAAATAATAGTGGCAGCATGGTTTTGTAATATGGATATAAATGCTCTAAAGCATCACCTGTGCTCAACAAGGGTTATGTGCAGCTTTAGCTGCAGGACACCTTAGAGACAAGCCTGCTCTGTAGAAAACGGGGAGAAGCACCTCTGAACACAGAGAGACATCTCTGGAATATGGAGCACCTAAGCTGCCTCTTACTCTTGATTTGCCCTCAGGTACCTCTGGGTTCCTATAACAATAAGGGGCCCTAGCTTATCAATACCTCAGCTGGCAGTTTTGTTGGAATGGAAGAGAGAGGATCTAGTTCTCTGTTGTGAGATGTTCTGGAAAACCAGAAGAGACCTGTTCTAGCAACTGTCCCAAACCAGCTAATATTGTTTAGTCATAAGCAATATTTTCAGAGGCCACTGTTGCCTATAAATGACATTTTTGGTAGCTTTTTACAACCCCAAAGTTGTAAATAAGTGTGGAACTTATTTCAAAGTTGAAACATGTAAATGAGCACCAGTATTCAAATATAGGAAAATAGAAAAGGGGACAAAATCAACTGAAATAAGATGTTTATAATTACAGACAAAACCCACTGTCCAATGCTAAAGAGATAAAGAACAAAGGTAAAGAGAAGATTTAGAAAATTTTCCATCTGAGCTTTCAAAATCATTGATACTATGTTAATGCTAATCACAGTTTGTATGCAGAAACTGTCTTAGTTTCTGTCACTGCCAAAGATGTTACGCTCCCTGCACAGGTGACTGTGAAATCTCACAAGTGAATGATAAACAGTAACACAGGAATCTCTCTGCAACATTCTGTAGTACAACTTGTGGTGGTTATCTAGACTAGGAAGGAAAACGATTCAGAACCTATGACACACATTTGGTGTGGAAAACTAAAACTTTAAAGGTCTGAATCCAAGTTCATTGGCAATGTGATGACAATCACCTTACTTCTAAATGAAACAATACTGTCACTGTTGTCCCACCTCAAAGAATGTAACAACAGCCTCCTTGTTGACTGTAAATGGCGAAAGGAGGAAGGTTTTAGTACAGAATCACTAATAATTTTTTTGACTTTGAAAGGCACAGAACTGATCTTGGCAAGCTGTGTCCTGCATGCTTATGTGACCGTAGGCTTTTAGTACAGCTGTTTTATGGGAATGTCTTCACACTGCACTAGGAAAAGTCTACTAAATATATACTTAATGCTCAAATTCTTGCTAAGATTCCCAAATAAATTTTTTCTGTTGACTTGGTTTTTCTGCCTAAATTTTGCCTAGCCCTACTCTCAGTAACATAATAGCTAATGAAGAAAAGACCATAAATCCTGGCAGAATGTAAGACACACACTTGGCTATTAAAATACTTTATTAATAAGATAGTAATGCAATTCTACCTATGCAGGAAAGAAAATATACTATGTTTAATGTCTAAGTTATGTATTGTATTAAAAAAAATTACAAGTCCTTTTAAACCCACTCTAGGGGTGACAGCAAAGAAAAAAAATCCTTACCTTAGTTGAACTTAAATGGTGTATTCTGTCACTAGAATAGCTTTGGGGGATCGGAGGATCAGGATAGTCATCAACACTTTTTGATGCATTCTTTTTGATGACTTCTACATAGGAAACAGGGAAGATGCCTTGTCTGTTGGTTCCTGGTATTTTACCTTCATACCAGTTTTGATCAACTCGCTTGAGAAGAATTACTCTGTCTCCCTGAAATGCATTATGAAAACGAGTTATCAGCACATACACTGTAAGTATATTTTGTGAATAGCAGGTATTATTTTAACACATAGTATCATTTTCCCTGCAGTGCAGTTTCCCATCAGTCTTGAGCATCATCTCCATTTCCACATTTCTACTCCCATTTATAATAACCATATATAAAACTACCAGCAAAATTCCAGCAAAATGAGGGGCTAGTCACGGACTAAAATGCTATTCTTTTATCATAGGGGAATCTCATGTAGTCTCCTACACTTATTAGGGAGAATAACATTAACACTTTTCTTTGGAGCATAACCTATTTTAATTCCTGGCAAAACTACCAGCTAACACCCTAACTATAATATGTAACAGTGACTGTTATGTCCATTTTTCCTTCCAAGTGATAAAAGTTAAACAATAAAACCCATACAAGCGCTTTGTTGTCAGTAAAACTGAAATAAGTGGAGGTAGAAAGCTAAAAAATGAGTCCATGGGAAATATGAGAGAAAGAACTGCTTTTCCTGGGCAGTGGCTCAGTTACTGGTTTTAGAGAGCTCAGCAACTGAAATGGAAAACATCAACTTTCTACTCAATCTTTCTCTGTAGTGAAACTTCATACTCCCTTCTTTGTTGCACATGATGTGCTTTTTATCACATGCCTTTTTGTAACAAATCCTTCCCTATTAATTTTGCATTCTCTTGGGTTTCTTTTATTTTGTTTCTGTAGCTTATAGGTGGAATTCACTAAAACTATCTTTAGTGAGATGGAACAAAAGAAAACCAGTGTAAGTTCACTTTTCAAAAAAACCCCAGATTTGACTGTCAAGATTATGACCACCACAATAAACATGGAAGGTAATTTTAAAAAGAAATAAATCACTTAATTTCCCTCAACCCATAATTTCTCTTAGTTCCTATTCCTGATTGTTTTTTAGAACTCTTTGACATTTATGAATTTCTAATGAGTAAAAAACACTCATTTTCAATAGTGCTGGATTAAGCTCTAGGTCAGCAACAACTAACCATATTCATACTTTTATTTCAAAAGAAAAACAAACCACTGAAAAGCTTTTATGAACTCTAATTCTTTAAAAAACCCAAATGTATGAGGCAGAACTTCCCAGTGGATAAGAAGTACATATTACTTACACACGAGTATTTAATATCTGCAATAATAAAGTTTCTCTATAGTGGTGATATTTCAGTGTCTCACAAACTTCAGAAATTAAACAGTTATTTTACTCATGTGCAATACAGTATAACTACAAGGATGTGCATAGAAATGGCAATAAAATGTTATAAAAAGCAGACTTATTAAATGAAATATTTGCAAGAACTGATACATTCAAAAAAAAAATCTCTGAGCCTTTTTTCTGTATCTTTTATCTTCTGTAATTTTCTATTTATTCTAGATTCATAATAATAGTGACAGCTAGGAATAATTATTAAAAAAAGGGAATGGATAATTAAGGAGAAAACTTGATATTTACGTGGGCAGTTAACAGATGATTGCATATGCTAATCTACCACAATCCAATTTACATGCACGACACATTTATGCTACTTTCAGGTAGCTGAGAAAGACTGCTAGCCAACAAGCTATTATGTTAGTAGTCTCTTACCGTGACATTGCTTTGTGCATGGCAAATTATGAATGCTGAGTGCACCAAAGCACAGTATTGATTTGGTATAGCAGTAGACACTTTCATGGTGTTTTGATGGAAGATAGTTCTAAACTGTACCTTTTTAAGTGATAACTCCACATTTGTGTCTGCACTGAAATTGTATTTGGCAACAGCTTCTCCAATCTCTCCAATCTGTGCAGGGGGAGGTGGCCTGGCAGGCTGTGCTTTTTCTGGAGGAGAAAGTTTCTAAGGAAAAAGAAAACCCACAGATTTTCATCATTTTCATGTGGTTTGTGGACTTATTACCGAAATTAATTAAAGGAATTAAAACAGAGAACAAACCTCAACATAAGAAATAGGGAATATTCCAACTCTTCCATGGTGCTCACCCTCATACCAGTTTTGATCAATTTTCCTGAGGATATAGACAGTATCTCCTTTCTTAAAGGACAGCTCTCTGTAACAAATTTATTTATATCAGATGTTTATAGCTTTACATTTAATTCTTCTACCTGCATAGTTCCTGAGATCTTTACAGTTTGGAACCGAAACAGAATGTAACAAACATTTGAAGAAAAAGTATCATGGCTGTGATCATTTACCAGTTGATCATTCAATATAAAATCAAGTGATTCACATTTATAGCTTTACATTTAGTACCTGTAAGTTATACAGGCCTGTTTTACACTTTGATTCCAAGGACGTATTGTTAGTTACTACCAGAGCACTTAGTATAGCATCTGCATGCAAGTATGATGTCTTTTGGATCACCTGTTTAAGTACTGCTTTTATGACAGGCATCAGAGGGATGTTCTTTATGAAATCAGTAGAGAAAACCAGAAAGTATATCCCATGTCTCTATGGCCTATCACTACCTTTTCATAGCAGAGAATGGTGTGCTTCTGCTCTTAACATTTTTCTTTCAAGACAGCTATTCAGAAGCCTGAAGAACACAGGATCATGCTCTCACCATTTCTGATATTCAGAGCCTGTGATACATTTAATGTTGAATGCCAAAAAAAGGGGAATAATTGAAATCACTAAAAATATTTTCAGATCCTGGCCTGGGAGATCTTTGCTGCATCATCCATTTGGCTTTTCAAAAGCTAAGCTGCTGTTTGGATAATTCAGGTTCTGAGTTTTCTACCAGACATAGCTAATGTAATTCTAGTGTCAATGTTGGGCCATATCTGAATATTGTTTAAATGCCCGGGATCATTGGAACAACAGCAGGAATGAAATACAGGCACTCTACTTCAACTCTCTCATATCCTAAATTAGTGGTTCCTGATCTTGTCTTTCTTATGGACCACTGTTGTCTTGGTATGGGACTTGTCACATCCTGCAGAGAGCCTGTGTATGTTAAGACAGACAGGAAAGTGTTGAAGTAGTATACAGAATTTTTATAACCCCATTATCTGTGACAGTATTTTAAGCACTTTACCTTGTGTAACCTGAATAGAATTCACAACAAACGAAAAGCATTCCATGGTTGACCCTCAGGACCTGTGCTCTAGAAGGCTGAAGATGCACAGCCATTCATGTGTTCTAACAGATACAATGGAGGATATAATAATTCAAGACATTTTTACTGCAACGTAACTTCTCACACAGTTTGCTAATGCAGAGACTACCTGTGCAAGCAGGGTCCTCATTTCCACGGCATTTCCTGTTGAAACTGGCTTAAACAGCAGTTAAGCTGCTACAAGTTCCAGAATCATGAATTCTTAAATGAACAAAAGTCTAGTACTTACTTAGAAGTCTGAGCTTTAAAGTCATATACAGCTCTAGCTGGCAGTTTCTGAAAAGCAGGCAAAGTGATTAATACATTCAGGTAGTATTACTATATGATAAACATGTTTCAACTTTTAAAAAGGTGACCAAGACACAAAGTGAAAAGGATGTGCTTTACAGTGGTTCTTGCAGAAATAGGCAATTAAATATATGGCTTTCATTTTTTTTAAGGCAGTTAAGTGTTTGAGACTTAGTTTTCTAAAAACAGAAATAGCAGCTAAATTTTAATACAGACTGCTTTTCAATTTTATGTGTAACAGAACTACCAAAGTAAATAAAAAAGTTAACTATGCCAATGTAACTTGTAGGCAACTAGCTTTTTAGGTACAATGTAAATTCACACACCTAATATTCTGTAGTATTCTAGATGCTTTCTCTGTTAAACTTGTTACCTTTAGGCTAATTTCAATTGCAAATACTGTATCACTTATATATACGTATATATGAGAAATTACTCTGACAGCTGGAAATTATTGGGAATATTTTGAATTTCTATAATCACATTCATAGTTTTAAGAAAGTCTGAGAAACACAGGACTGGAGTTGATCTCCTGAGTCATCTGTGCAGCTCTCTTGCTATTACAGGCAATCACATTATATCACTCCTATCATATATTTATCAAGTTCTATCACAAAGTACATGCAAGCTCAATATTGTTTCAAAAATAAAGCTGTTAAACAGCCCTACCTCTCCTCACCTGTGCAGCTGAAACTTAAACTTTCACTGTTTTCAAAGCTCTGCTGAAAACACGAACTGTGATCCGGCCCAACAGCCTCCCTCATCTAGTGTCTGCAGCTGACAAGTAACCGTCACCAGATACTTCAGAGGAAGGTGCCAGAAGTGATAAACAGTATTACATGAGGGTATTTGGTGAAATTCTTCAGTGTTTCTCTGCAAGTACTTGCACAGATAAGATTGCTACATTTAAAAAAATTTCTCTCTAGGATATACTAGTGACTAGCATGAGGTGACTATGCTATTTCTGAGAGATGCTACTTGTAAGGATGTAAAGGTGTGCATCTTTTTATGAGAGGAATAAAAAGGGACACTTGTAAATTTTGCATTTTTCTTTTATTCCACATGTTCTTGACAGGGTTCTCTCCCTACTTGTAATTTAAAGGTTAGCAAATTTAGCATACCTAGAGCGTTGTCTTCAGTATAACAAAAAAGTCCCTAAAGTTATTGCAGGGGTCCTGTCTATTTGAATTTTGTAATACTAATACAATTTTCCATTACAGGTCTAAGCCTACATTTAAGAGCATTTTCCTGTTCCTTGCTGTTGTTAAAAACAGTCTTTTAGACAGGAGGTGATATTCATATCAACTGTAGCTAAGCCCTTTTCACTCTTCCTTGACTCTGGTACAGCTGGTACTGTAACTACTAAAGCAAATAACAGAGGAAAGAGGATAGTATTAAAAGAACAGTGGAGCTGATTAAATACAAAATACTTCGCACTTTACAAAACATACTGGAAATAGAGAAGCCTTTTATCTTTTTAAATTACAGTGATCTTAAAAATGGCTTGTAATTTAAGTATTTTATGTGTTTTCAAATTGAAAAATGACTTTCTATGTCATGAGATTCTTTAAAAGGAACACATAACTCAGCTCCTGGAACATTTTTTACCTCTATTTTGTAATAAGCAGTCTTTTTTTTCTTTTTTTTTTGTTGAAATCAGACTCTTAATCAAATTGCAGCAATATAAACATGTCAGTGGACTGTAAATGGATCTGAATTCAGTTCTCACTGTACCACCATTTAGCAAGGTAGATAGCCCAGAGCAAACCCTTAAATATTAGCAATTAAAATATAGTACCCTCTTATGCTGTTATTATTTTGTGCAATATTTTAATAAAAAACAATAAAAAATGTTAACAATCCATGGTCTGTAGATGTTGGTTAATTTAAATGTACTTTATGATTGAATAAAATCCCTGAAGCCTGTTTGGAGTGCATTTACAGTTACATCTATAAGTATTCTTAATATACTAAATAATACACTTCATTTTCCAAAGTGTAGTTTTCAGTGATACTTTGTGTTACTTTAACGGTGGTATGCCTGCTTCCACAACCTTTTCCAAAGCACTAATATGAGTAACCAGTATATAATTACCATCACCAACTGTTACAAACATTAGTGTTTGCTCTTAGGAGAAGTGGTTTTGTCTAACACACCAACGACAGTGGTTTTGCTTTTCCAAACAAAAATAATGGTGAAATATAGATGTTTTGTATCAGTTTTAAACTACCAAGGCAGTTTCTTTGTGTGATGCTTTGGATCTCAAAAGAGCCTTTCCCTAGTCACACCTGCTCTTCTCTGTTCTAAACACCCTCTCTGGTCAACTTTGACAGAATCTATCAATAACTAGTAAATTTATGTTCATATCTATTTAATAGTAAATGGAAGTCCACAGCTTATTTTACAAAGCTTGATATTATTTTAATTTCTTGAAGTACTAATCCTCCTTAATGAAAAAGGAAGATGCTGTCCCATCTGATGATATGATAAGTAACTGTTCCTTTGGTCTGCAGTATTACAGTGTCTTAAAACCAACAGAAATCTTGTCTCAAATATGTTACCGATTTCCCATATGGATATTGCTGTGTTATTCATTGTTGTTTCACTACCTCTTTGTCTGTAGTTCCTCTTCTCTCCCTTGGAGTAAATCGGCCCACATCAGTGAAAGCAGAAGAATAGCTTCCAGGAGACTCCTGGTCTACTGAAAACAGAAATTATGTGAAGTTACGGTAAACAAAACCATTCAAATGTGTAATGCTTCTTGGTTTCATTAGGGAGGTGAAAAGATATTGAAATCTATTATTTTACCTTTAATAGAAAGAAAAGCACATGATATGATGGTTAAGTGCACCTTCAAAGAAAAAAAAAAGATACTAACTCTTAAGCAAAGGCAATGGCTGTCCTCTGATCCACAGTAGAAGAAAAGATATGAGAGAGGATCAAGAGAGCAAAATTGTGCCTCACTGTACAAAGGGATGGACCCCTATTGGGCCAAGTGGAAGACATGACAGCAGTACTGGGACTTCATCAGGTTGCATGACACTGTTTCGGAATGCCAACAATATAAACACATAATTACATGCATAATTACATGATTCAAGCATGCTTCAATGAGAAAATAGTGAAGTAACATTGTTTCCTCCCAAGTGATCTAAGATGCATTTCTACTTTACCAGGGGCACATGTTAGGCAGCACAAGGAAATTTAAAAAGAAGTTATTTCATAAAAACAACTCTGTTTTAAGAGATGGAATACAAATCATTACTCACCAATCTATGTGGCAGACTTCTCTAAAATACGGTTTACCAATGTTTATTACAGGATGGTATCTTTTAATGTTTTAATAAGAATAAAATGAAAATCTTACACATTCTATAGCTCTGCAAGTTGCCAATGTGAAATGAAAATATAATAGAACTATTTCAGATCAGAGGATGAAATGAATTGCCTCTCAACTCCTGAGAACTACTGTTTTAGTCTCCTACTGTCACAGCGATATTTGCTAGTGAAAACGTGATAGATGTTTGTCTTCTTTGACTTCATTCCCACAATCTGTTCTTACCAAGTTCATATATTTCCAAAGGAGTACAAGAGGTTAAAAAGAAAGGAACTGAAAGCAGGTCATCCATTATATTTGGGTCTTACAGAAAAAAGATGTAAATGGTCTCTAGTGGGCTATAGGCTAAACCAAAAAAATTGAAGCTATTGATAAATATATTGGAGGCAAAAAATGAGATCATTGTATTATTTATGCCATTGGTTGCAAGCATGTCACTCCCAGCAAGTATATCACAGTCCCAGTTCTGGACAGGTTTCTTGATATGGCATGTGTTCCTGAATGAGGATCTATACTCACTGCACAAACCTAAAGATACAATGCCTCCAAACATATCTATTATTTTTTTTTCTTTATTCTCTAGCAGAAAGAGAAGGACATGGAAAAAGAGTGAAAATGCAGAAGCTTTAGGACAAACAATTTCCTTTATTTCTCTACAGCTCTTTATGCAGCCAATATTGGTAGTTTTCAGTGGTTTTTTGCTATGACCTTGGGGTCTCTGTGTGATGGTGGCTGTAAGAGACACACACAGATCCAACAAACAGGAAACTTGATTCGAAGTAGAGCTCAGCCATGACTGGTGCTGATGGAAATCAATGGAATATTCTGCTTTACTCATTCTCCACGCCACTTTAAGGATATTAATGTTGACAGAGTGCATTGTTTTCCTTATGCCAGGCTCCTTCACAGCTGAAGAAGCTATCAGAAGTCCACTGTAATATGTGACCAGTGCAATTTCCAACAATCTTGGTCTCATCATGTAGTACTGTCAGCCAGGGTTAATCATGACCAGGCCTCATGTATGATTAATTCAGTCCTCAACTGCGTTTTATAGCCCTTTTTTAATCAAATCTTTTATTCTAAATATGTCTGTTATAACTAGTTAAGAAGAGATGGTAACAGTTTGAATTCTGAGTTCTCTTGAAATACATATTTACTATTGTGCTGTTTGCAAAAGTTACACAAAAAGATGTGAGAATAAAGGTAAGATAGGTCTGATCAAATACTGCTTAATTTACATATTAAAGACATTTTCTCTTACATCCATTTGTGATTTCAAGAATAGCTTTGTAATTTCATTAAATTCTCAAAGATACTCTGTCAAAGAACTCTATGTCTAGAAGCAGAATTCTTAAACTAAGAAATGGTAGCATTGAAAAAGAGAAATAAACTACAGACTTGCCAAAGATATTAATCTAAATCATCTAGCATACAGTTTGTGCATTCCTACAACGGATCTAGTTTGTTTCTTTTAATATTAAAAGGTTAAACTTTAAAAACACTTTAGGCTTGAGCAAATGTTTTTGAGAAAAAAAAGATGCAGCACAGCAACAAACAGCTCAAAGCAGTAACTTAAACTACAGACTGGTCATACTCACCCTGACAATTTCATTCAAGTTTTGATTATTGAGAACTTCCCTTTTAAGAGGATAGGAAATTTCTCAAAACTTCACAGATATATTAAAATTCTATGAAAAGAACTAGTTTTGCTGCCACAGAAATTGGAAATTTATTGTTTGAACAGTGGAAATGGAAACTTCCTAAAATTACCTTAACATCTATTCACAAAAAGTAATATAAAGCATTAGATTCATAAGAAAACAGAATCAACTTTCTGTGATACTGGCAGAATTAGCAGCATTTTAATCGCTTACATTTAACAAAATAACAACACATTTTAGATGCAAATTTTTTTCTTAATTAATAAAGGAAGGATTATCTCCATATTGTTTTCAGTTTGACCAGCATCTTATGATGCATGAATTCCCTTTCTGTAAGATATTTTTCTTGGGAGAAAACCCCCACAATACTTAATAACTACTGTAATTTATAGATCTAATAATCAATTAGTTGAAATGCACTGTTACTTCAGTTGTTCTGATTGCTGTAGTTTGTGAATAGATAGCAAATTTGTCTATCCTCAACACCTATGTGAAAATGACATTCTTCATTAAGAATTTTGTGGGATGAAAGCTTCTTATAGACAACACAAAAATGGAATGAGAAAGGGTGGGAAACACAGGGAGTAAGGCTGGATAAGTCAATCACAAGGATAGAGGAAGAAAGTTAATCCACCTTGGAAACACAGTGCACTATCGTTGTTGTTAGTTGCATCCATGTCTGGAAAAGAGGCACTAAGAGGTAATCTTCCACAATCATTCTGGTACAGTGGACAATGGATAGCACCATCTTGAGGCAGTGGATGAAAAGGCTGGTGCATGGGACTCTTTTTCAGAGCTTTAAGAGATGAATTCCTTTCTGGAATGTCTGGAAGCAGCTCAGTAATAAGTCTGTGTAATATACTGTTGTCGGGCAAGCTTCCCCGTCTTTTTTCAGCTTTAATTTGGTCACAGATGTCTTTAAGTGCAGAATCTAGTGCTTCAAATACAGATGACTTGCATTTTTTCTTTTCGGTTTGTTTTTTAGGAGCTGCACTTTTTTTCCTCCGGAAAGGCACTGGACTGACCAGGAATGCTATCTTAGAGAGGCCAGATTCTGCTTCCTGTCTCCTTGGATCTTCAGTGGTTTCTTGCTTAGCCCTTTCATGTTTTAGCATGGTAGTGAAGCGAGTGTAGGATGCTGGGCATCGCCCTTTGCAGGAGCTAATGAGATGCCTGTGGTGGTGGTGATGGTGGTGGTGGTGATGGCCTGATCCATAAAAGCTTTCAGATGATGTGAAGGAAAAGTGATCGAAGTCACTTTCACTACAAAAGGATGAACCCTCTATCTGGATAAAGTCACTGAGATCAGAAACCACTCCATCTTGATCACTGTCTGAAAAATCTATATGTGATCGTTGTGGCTCATCACTGGTCACTTCAATATGAATTGGCACCAGGGTTTTAGACTTGTAGCTCTGTTGTACCTGAGAGGGATGTCTGACTGGAGTTTCTTCTTCCAGCAAGGACTCGATAGAAAATCGCCTCTTTGGACACAAGCCATTTTTAGGAGGCTCTAATGTAGCAGTTGACAACATTTCATCACCAAGGTTCGGCATTGATTTTGACTTCTGAATTAATTTTTCAAATTCAGATATTCTGGTTGGCACCATGTCTCTGGGCACCTCTTCAGTAGAAGACTCTCTCCAGCCTTGAAGAATACCTTTGTGCTGTTCTTTTTCATACTGCAGTATTCTGGACTTCACAGAACAAATCACCTCAGAATTCATTAAGTCCTTGCGATTGATGCGGTGCATCTTTTTGTACATTTTCAGGAAACCTGGAGCATCATGTGCAGATCTGTGACGAACTCTCGACCTACCACTACCACGGCCCTCAACATATGGGGAGTTCCAGTTCATTGAGCAAATTTCTTTGGAATCCTCCTCACATAACAGAGAGCCCATGCTCTCAGCCTTGGCCTGTGCATCAGGAAAGCTATCACGATCATCTGTTAACAGATCATCACAGCTACGAGATTTTCTCTTTGGAGAAGCATTTTCTTCTGTGCTGCTCCAGACTTCTGCATTTTGGCGAGTCATTTGCCAGCCATTCTTGTAGCTAATTGCCCTTCTTGAATCATTTGGAACAGCTAAATGTTGCCTGTAAGTGCTACAGTAATCTAATTCATTTGAGGTGTTGTGGTTGTGCACTGAATAACTTAAAAGGGATGGATATACTTTGCTAATATCCCCACCTTTATAATCCACAGAGCAGCATGGTAAAAAAGAGACATTGCCAGAAATTAAAAGATTCAGAAAGTTGGAATTAGCATCAGTAAGCATTAGAAAGACTAGAAAAGAAATAGGAATTAGTGCATCTATCATTTTAGGTCAGTACATAGTCTCCTACAGCCTGGGACAGCAGAGCTAATAATTAAGTTACTTTACAGCTATAAAAATGCACTCATGAAAATTTGAACAATAAAAAGAATTCCTTATGAATTATGGTGATGTTATCCCCTCTGCAACCCCCCCCCACCAGAGCAACATAGAAAACAAGCACTAATACCAATTTTGAAGCAGGTCAACAGAAAATAAAAGCTGCAAAGGATTTAAAGATGAAGCCAAACAACAAATATAGACCCCAGTCAAATATTGACTTTTCCAGCATTCCGAAAGAAGTTGCTCAGGATTTTTAAGCTCTATAATGCTCAGAGAGTTTGCAGCATCTGTATTCTAACATAGTTAAGATAAAGATAAATCTTTATATAAGATCAAATAGGAAATTGCTCCCAGTTTTTCATAGCCCACTCTTTCCCTATGTGATAGCACTGAAGGGAGCGGTGCTTTCTACAGCTTATTGAGGGCAGAACAAGGCAGCTCAGGAATTGGATTACAGGTGTAAAGGAAGATGTATCAGTTTACTTAGCCTAACCAGCACGTAGAAAAAACAATAAACTTCCATAACAAAGCCCAAGTTTTCAAGCAAGTTTCAAGATATATTTTTATGCGCATGCTAGATGCAGAAATCATGATGAGACAAATTTGGAACTGTGGTCTTTCGTAATTGCACTGAACTTTCAAACACAGTCTCAAATGACATTCAGTTCAGGAAGGATGCTTCAAACAGCTCAATCTGCTTTCTAGAGAAAACTGAATCTGGATCAGAAATCAAAACACTTGACTTCAAAATTCATGCTGATCAAACAGTTTATAGCATGCTCCTTCTTTAAAAAATAGGTTAATTTCAGGAAAAAATAACATTCTACAGGTGTCATAATGCTGGGAGAGAATGGAGTGACACAGGACACCTTCTGAAAGTTAATTAGCTATGGTAGATATTCTGAACTGAAGGATTTTCAAACACAGAAAGTGTTTAGGTGGAGTCAAATGTACATGCCAGGGAGTTTATAAACTTTTTACTCCCTGGCCTGGTAACCAAAATGGATAAGTTTATCCACTTCTAAAATTACTGCTGTAACATCGGGTTTAAAATACATTTGCTTTCCACCATTTCACTCTTACTATTCCTCACTGCTTTTCTTTGTCTCATACTGCTTTTCTTTGTCTCATTCTGTTGCAGACCAGATATTATGTTCTTTTCAATGGGAATTTACTTTTACAGAGGTCTGCTGATTAATATAGCTATAAAATAGAGCAATTAAGTGAATAATAATAATAATAATAATAATGATAATAATGATAATAATGATAATAATAATAATAATGATAATAATTTCAGCAGAAGGAGACACACTGTATTCAGTGTTACTCTATATATTACTTCCATCATATGTTTTACTGGAAGCCTATTGTCTTTCTAAAAAAATCTACTGAAATCGCCAAACCCAAATGAACAACTGATTCTGTGATCTCTTTTCTGAAGAGATGTGAAAAACAGTAATAGAATGGTGAGTTACTTGCAAAAAAAGAAGTTAATTAGGTTGTATCAGCTGTACTAAGTACTTCCAAGGATTTACAAAATAAAAAATCAGACTATGGATGTTTGCTTGATTAACTTAGGTCCTGATAACTGACAATGTCTAAGACATCAGCTATAGATTTAAAAAGCCTACTATCCCGGAAACACATCTTTAGTCTTAAAGGTCATTTGTCTTGTACTTTCTCAATATACTAAAACTAGTTTTAAAATCACAATAACCTAATAAGACAGCAGTGGAGTTAATAAAAATTTATAGGTTTATATATTGTGGTAGAATTCATAGTCTTCATTTACTCAATTTTCTTTTGTTAGAACAAGCAGTTGAAACTGTTACTTGTTACAAATCCAGTTTTTCATCTTAAAATTACACACATAAGAATAAACAAGTTAGCCTTTCATGAAAGGCCCAAAGTTGTTGCTTCATATCACATCTCCTGAGGAAATGCACTGAACAACAGCGGGCAGTTGCATTTGCTACCAATGTATTGTACAACACATCATCAGAAGTTTTCTGCTAACAAACACAGCCTCCTCTTACCTTTTGCTCTTGATGGGGAAGAAGGAGACGAGCTAGTTAAAGGCTTTCTAAGGGTGGTACATGGGCCTTGTGTGTCTGTACGGCCCAGGTTAGATCTGTTTGCATTCTGATCACTGTGTGCCCTCTGATGACTTACAGCAGGTTCTGACTTCCTTCGCTTTCTGAAGTCACTCGCAGTACTTGCAGAACTACAGAAAAAAGCAGTATAAGTAGCAGTCTAATTCTGAGATCAGAATTTAGGATTTTAAAAAGTAAGCTCATAATTATATTATTGGTTCATAAATTAAAAAATGCCAGAACAAATACATCAAAACCACGTAAAGTGATGAAACACTGGTCTCACACATCTTACAGCATATTTCACAGAGAAATGATAATTCGTTCGTCACCTGACTGTTTAAAGTTTTATGCAAAAATACTATGCCATTTTCTTTGAAATAAATGCATCAAGTATTTTTAGACTATTTGTTGGAACTAGAACTTTAGTGCAAAGATAGGGAAAAGAGACTGAGAACAGTTGGGGCAGCTCAGGGAAACAGCACTGAGGGTCTTGCAGGCAGTAAGGTTAAATGATAAACTGCTGTTGAGACAGAAGATTGGGAATGTTAGTGGAAAGACCCAGAACACAGTATAGTTTACTCTGAATGTAAAGAGTAAGTCCTTGCAAAACTAAAAATCTACACATCAGTATCAAAATACGAACACTTTCTCCATGCATCTCTATTTTGTCAGTAGCTCACAAGGTGAGTGTTACAATCTGACTCTTCACATCTGCTGATTTCAGGGCCCAGAGAAGACCCTTAAGGCTGGATAATCTGTGACTGCTGAAATAATGTGTAGTATTTCTTACCTACAGGGCCTGTCCAGGCCTCTGTCTGTTGAATAGTGATGATATAAGGAAGCCTGTGAAAACAAATACATGGACCTGTTATATGTTTGTATTTGAAAAAAAGAGTGGCAATTTTTGCTTATCATGTTTGATTACTCTTTGTTACTCTGTGACAAATCCTATAAAAATGGACCATGATGATTAACATCCTGGGCACTCTGGCATAGATACAGCAATATTTCATGAGAACAGTTATGCAGCTTTTAAAAAGCACTGTTAGATTTCATTTCCTATTCTAGTTCAGTAATGTTTTTTCCGTTAAAGTACCGCTAAAGAGTGATCCAAAATCATAGTTTTCCATGCACTTTTCAAAAACAGATACAGAACAGCTGAAACAAACCTTTACTATAGAAACATAAAAATCTGAAAATAATTCCTTCATGTGCAAGTGATGTCTGCAAAGCTTCTCCTCCCCTCGCAAAGTTACTCACCAAAATCTCACAATCAATTATAGCCAGAAACTTGTAATTCCTATTATGTTTGTAGCCACACCTTATAATCCTGGTAAAAACAGTTCTTATCATAGAACATTAGTCACTGCTCATGGAGTTACGGAAGTAGCTACTGCATCAACCCTGGAAGATGGAATGGAGTACTGCTCCATAATTTTATAATCAGTATAAAGTCAACCATACATGACTACAAATTTTAAATCAACCATTTCAAGCCTTCAGTCAGAATACTACACTCTGGTAACTAGGTATGAATCTAGAACAAACTGCACAATCCCTGAGGTATTTCTTCAAGCAGTGAGATTCAAGAGTTAAACTTGTTTCAAGTTCCTGGCATGTCATTTCAGAGGTAACCCAATGGACTAAAACTATCATATAGATTTCTAAGCTGCAGGAAATATTTTTCCCTTTATAAAGAGCCTTCTTGACTTTTTCTCTGTATGGAAAAAACTTTGTATTTGAGGACTGCAGAGGTAATAGCACTCATGGACTGTACAAGTGCTTTCTTTTGTTAGTATAGTTTTTTTTTTCCCTCAGTGATTTGAATTGCAAGTTCATGAATTGCAACTTCACCCGGACTTGCTGACTGACACTTTGGTATACCTCTAGAAGTCACTCGTAGTCTAAGAATACTTGGGAACAGATTTCATAAGACCATATACTTAAATGACATTCAAGAGTAACTGTTTGAACTACTTTTACAGGTGGGAGACTATAAAAACAATACGGTTGTTCAGTTAGAGTTGTCAGTTGGCTTTGTTATTTAAGACCAAGTGATCCCATTAAGACACTAACTGAAGCTTTAATTTCTGTATTACAGTAAAATTTATTATACTGTGGAATGGGGAGAACCACGCGAACACAGCACAATATGAAACAAATGTTATCTAAAACTTGAGCTAAGATAATTCCAATTTTCTCAGTACTTTTAAACTCTAATTTAAATCACATCCAAACCAGGTAAGAAACCTTTCAACTTTTGGAAAGAATGGCAGCTGAGGTGTAAACAGTTAAAAGATGCTAATAATTCAAAGACTTCCTGTTTTATTTCTCAATATTTGGAATGTGTATGGGGTTCATGACAAGTGCACTACTGATCACCTCTTCTGTCCAAACTAAGTATCATGCTATTTGGTTTTTTTCAAATACATTCTGAGGTAGGTATTTATTCCTGAGTCTTTAGTGTTCATACAGTTCATATTTTCAAGTTTTTCTTTACATCTTCTGAAATCTGAAAAGTACTTTGTAACAACTCTCCCACCACTATTGAAATTCAATAATTTTAAGATATATAGCCAATATTATGAGGTCTGTCTACTATAAAACCATAGAAGTCAGATGCAGAGTTGCTCACACAAACAGCCAGTATAACCACAGTGAAGCAAAGGCCTCAGGCCAGTGTGCTTCCCTACGCTTCCCATAAAACATTGAGCCTGTTCTGGAAAACATCAGAGTCTTATTTCAAAACTGGCCACAACTATCTTCATCTTGATCAGTCACTGCCATGGTCTGGAACCAGCAGAGGAAGGTGATCTCTGTTAGGACTGTTGCATGAAGTGGCATAAACATTGCAGGTAGATTGTCATTGTGGGATTTTTTTGTGCAGGTGCCAACCACTTCCACTAGCAACCATCTGTGACATGATAGGGGCCAAATGGCCATGAGGCAGGGATTACTTTCCACCATTTGTAGTGGCTTTAGGGCTATAAAGACCATGATGTAACTCCCAGGGGTGGAACAGATCCCCACTGCCTCCTGTGGAAGGCAGTGGGTAAATCACACAATGGAAACCACACCAGAGGGAACTTCTTTATCCACAGCATTCTCCAGGCCATAAACAGTGTGTTAGTGATCAGCCTAAGATGTCTAGAAATGTGTGTCACGCCGAAATTGACTGCTGGGTTACTGTATGGCTTTTGCTTTTCATCCTTTAAGACTCTCCTATCACCTTGAATGTAACTTGCCCTTTTACCCTTATTTGATGCCACCTTTGAAGTTTTTACTATATGAAAGACACTGTATGTTGCACATTCTACAATACTAATTTTTACCACGGGCATATGTTATTTTTTTTATAGAGTGTGTGGAGTTTATACGTTCTACCCCCAGGTAGAGCTTCACGGATATGGCAGGTAGGGAAAGGTGAAAGTAAACAGTGGATATGATTGTTTTTTACTGCTTGTTTTACTGCTTGTAGCTGTCCTATCAGCTCTTAGGTATTTACTGACCCACTTTCAGGTGGTTCAACTGAACACATCTCCCCTACTCCCCCATCTCCAAAGTTAATTAGTCATCTCCCAGAATATTCAACACTGCCCTACATGAATAAAAGCCACCTGACAAAAATAATTTAATATTGCAGATGACAGCTCCAAACTACCAAATACAGACTTTTTTGAATAGCTTGATTTGGTTTTACTAAAAAAATGAGGTATACATTTAAAAGTAAGCCTATATTTTAGCCATTTTCAGGCATCAAGGCTTTAACGATGACCACAAGTGAAGTTAGGAAAAGAAGCCAAAAGTTGTAAATAACAAACATGCTTGTTTGCCTAATGGCTCTAATACTTTATCAAGTTATTTTGAATATTGTCCTCCCGACCTACCCTCCCCCCCCCCGAGAAATACTAAGTTGCTGTAGACTTTGAACATGATTTATCATATTCAAAGATTATTAAAGTTTCAAAATTAAGACAGAAGTTTTTGTAAGTTAATTAAAGAGAAAACCAATATTACTTAATAGCCATTTTACTCTGACCTACTGAACATGGGAATATTTCAAACAGTCATGTTAGGGCTTTTAAATTGTCTTCCTTGATATACAGAGGACTAAAAAGAACTAGCAAAGGCCTAGAAGCTTATTGTTTCAGAGAACCGAACCCAAATTTCCCAACTATGAGTTTTTTCTAAATATACAGAGACCTTAAAACCAAAACAGAGTAATTTGCAAACAATTAACAGTTTAAGACCACAATTTGAGGTTAAGTTTTGGAGAGACTACAGAAGATGAGAGTGAATCACGAATACAAGCCACCACATGAAGCAAAGTTGCCATTATAGGAGTCACTGACTTTTGCCCTAATGCTGTAAAAATGGGGAGGGAGTGGAGAAGGAATGAAAGCCTGAATCTCTCCCACTCAGAGTAGGGCAACGACAGCCCACTACCTGATCTTGATGAATTTTATTTGGAGTAGCAACATTCTAAATTACAAGAGGATTATTAATTGCGGTTTTTATCTGATTAGCTCCGTAGCCATAAATACTTAATTGGAGAAATGACAGCTTAGCCACAAAGGCTTTCACTTGACATACAGAATTTGAAGTCAGATATTTTAATTAAAAAATACTACTGTAGTGATGGATTAATTGTGCAATGCACCTGCCCAACTCTGAAAAGTGGGAATTTGTCAAAGAGTTAGAGACGTATGGACTGTTGTGTAATTCTGAGTGTTAATCTCTGAGAAGTTTTGGGGATAAGGACTCACAGTTCCTAGGATAATAAGATCAACATCCAACTGCACTAGTGATCTGGAAAGATATGAAGACAAAGATACAATGATTGTGAATTAAAAATGTCTCATAGCTATCAGAAGGAAACCACTAAATTTTAACAGACTTAAGACATAAATGGTGAGCATTCCAACCCTTCTTCCCAAGAGAATCATCCGAAAAAGAATCATTCATTTACCTCATTGGAAACACCAGAAGAACTTTCTTGAAAATAGTCCAAAATCTTTTTAGGTGGCTGCATCATAAAAGCAGAAGTGTAGAGATGAAATGGAGTAGAAACAATGGCAGCAAGGAATGAAACATATGGAAAAGGTGACACAGTTAGAAACTAAGTGTTGACAGCATCAGATACAAAGAGTGACACACACGGGGAGAATGGAAGGATGAATGTGTTATATTTTTTAAATTATCTTAATAAATGTTAGTAACATTAGGTGGTAAAATTTACAACTGGGATAGTTGAATAAATACCAGCAGTTTTTAATACTGATGAGACAAAAGAGTGTAAAGCACTAGAGTTACATTCTGCTGGAGAAATCTCAATCTATTTTATCTTAACAGTTATCATTATCAATAAATTATTGTTGACATATTGTTCATCAGAAGAATGTATCTGGACTGTTTCTGCCCACCTAGAGGGAGGAATGACAATAGGGCTTGAATGGCTGGATAAAGGGAGATAAAAAGTAATCAGTGAAAATGTGATACATTATAGACCACTAGACAACAAAGTAAACCCAGATACATTTAACTTTTTTTTTCTAAAATTTTCAGATGGTATTCAATTGGCAATTTTTTTAAATGTTACAGTTAAAAAATTAAATTTTTAAAAGAGTGTATGCAGTTTTGCTTTCTATTCTGGTCTCACTGAAGTAGCTGGGAGTTCTGATTTTGGCTTATGCCTAGCTACAAAAAGTGACTAAGGTATCTGGTTCCAGAGTGCCCTCCATGGCCCTGTGTCAACTGCTTAGGCTCCTCATGTAGCCTGGCATGTCACTAATTAGAATTCTGAGGGGCCTCCAGAGAATTGTTGGTTAACAGGGAAAGAAAAGAATGGGAATATTTTAAATTCTGACACTCTCAAGTTCATGTCTATTTGGAATTTTCTGCCTGTGGGCAGATGCTTTTGGTTTTTTAAGTAAAAAATCACAGTGAGAATCCTGGGGAGCTAACAGAATACTTAAAAAGACTGAGCGAATGATTGGGTTTACTTCCCTCCTTCTTCTAAGGGGATTTTAACTCCTGTTTTCCACCTGTCTGGATACTCTAACTGTCCCCTTAGACAGTCTTCTGGGATGAAGGCATTTGTTATCCTATTCCTAAAGATGTTAGAGTGTACAGGAAAGAATTTGAGCTTTGTGGAGTGAGAGAGGGTGTGTGCAAAAGGAAGAGCAGGTGCATCTTCAACCTAGTTCTTGAGACACTGTGCAGGGAGGAAGTGAAACCTCGTTCTCAGTCTTGCTTCGAGGCAATGCCACTGTTTTACCCTTGTAAAAAATACACAAACAGCCTTTGGTGCTTAAATACAATTAAGCCTGTGGTATTTGCAGATTTGCAAGTGCCTAGGAAATCAAAGGTGAAAAATAGAGATATTTCTGATTTTTAGGTGTTTCAACCAGATGGAACTCTTCAGGTTTATAATTTTAAACATAAATGTTTGCAGTAGGACTAAGGCAGCATCTGTTTGCCCAAGTCCTTTTATCGATACTAGCTATTTGTGAAAATTGGAGCAGAACTGAACTCTGTCAGTACAAGCAGGTGTCCAGCCTGAAAACAGAGCAAACCTATATCTCTGTGTTCAAGTGTAAAATATGTATTCTGCACGTATGCATATAAGAGAGGAAAATAGGGAAAAAAATATCAGCATTTACTGTCATAAGAAATTTGTATATGGCTTCCTACATTTAAATGTAGATACATTCCTTCAAGTAAAATACATTATTTGTAACTTAGCATCCCTAAAGCAAACTGACATGATTTTCTGTTCTAAAAGATTGTTCAAAACTAATCCAGTCAAATGCAAAAGATTTAAGGAGACTAGAAAAGTCTAGACTAGAAAGTACTCCTGTTTATCATGCAATTTATCTTGTTATTACATATTTACACATACTCCATATTAAAGCTACTAATGCCACTGCTCTGGCAAATTAAGAGTCTATTTGAAAAAAATACTATTTCAAAAAATAAATGCGATGAATTTATCGCCCTTTCTAAAAAAACCCCTCATATTAATTTTACTGCCATATACTTGCTGAATTTGGTAATTTAAATTCCTCATCATAAAAATATTTTTTCCTAATGTGTAAACATTAATATTCTGTCCTCACTTACCGGACGTCCAAATTCCAGTTCTGAAAAGAATTTATACCAGGGTTCGTTTTCTAAATCTATGTCATCAGGGTTTATGCGATCAGTCTGGAGCAGTTGTGAAGGAAAAGGGAAGGAAAAGGTACACACTGAGCAAAGTGCCAGAAATGCCATGTCACTTTAACAACAAACAGACAAAGACAAAACAAATATGGGGAAAGAAATGGAATAAAATCAAAGAATGAAGATGGTATTTAAGACAGAGAATATTCTTGTTCAAGAGCTGACATTGACCGGTAGCTTTAAAACTTTTATTTTTGTTGATGTTCTTCCAAGCGCTGGAACTTGTTAAACATTTTAAAATTACACTTTTAAAGCTAAGAGGACTCTTTGACTTTTCTTTAAACATCATTGCATTACTTAAGTAGATTTAATTCTACTAAAGATTCCTAGTTAAGAAGATGGTTTAAGTGATTTTCATCTCCAGCATAGGCAAGAAATTGCCCATCTGATCAGCAATAAAGACAGAACTTTATCTGTATTGCTTTTGGCCATTCCTTGTCTTCTCACAAAGCATGTTAATTCTGGATCTTGCTGTCTTGAAGCAAGCGTTGAGCAGAGATAAGGAATATGCATCATGCAAGCATCACTATGTTAAAAAACCACTTCAGCACATGAAAAAGGAACTTGTATATTTTAAATTCTATAGTCAAAACTTAGGGAACAAAAAAATTATGTATTCCATACTATTTGTTGCAGCAGTACTGTGTAATACTTTATCTCATATAGCCTTGCTGACGCAATGAAGCATTTTTTTCCCACAGTGAAAAACATTGTTTTCATCTGAAAATTCTCCCAGCTAAGGGATAAAGTAGCAATTGATAGCATTAAGGAAAGTCTTCAGTGAACAGAATAATAATTGACAGATTTATTCAAGTAGCATGAAAACATGACAGGGCAAAACAGTTCAGCTCTCAATGGGATATCTAATAAACTGTAAACCTGGTTGCATTAATTACTTTCTAAATAGCTCCAGTTTCTTTGCAGGAACCTATGTAGGCTTTCATGCAGCACAGAACTACAGTGAACTGTTGGCTTAAAGATCTCTGAAACAGAGAAATCCTCTTGTTAAAGACATTTCTGAATTTAAAGTTGGATTCTCCATAACTGTAATTATCAGAACTCAGACACTAATTACTGTGTGACCTAGAAGGCAGTCGTCAAAGAAGACAGAGCGCAGCATACAGAATAACACTGGTAATCAAATCTGTAACACTTTTTCCTCCGGAGTCAAGCTGTCACCAACATGCTAAAACAATCACATACAGCTATTTCTGTTTTCTGCAACAGATAACATTGTGCTCTTGATCATTTCAGACAATTAAATATCTTACAGCACTTTACTTGCTGACTTTGATGTTACTGGGACAGACTCTCCACTCTTCTCTATCGAAAGGCCAACAACCCTTCAGAACTACCTTGGTGCTCACATATCTGTGAGCTGTTCATGCAATATCTGGATCCCAACTGTTGTTCTACACACTTATCTTCAAAATATCCTTTCAAGAAAGGGAAGTAGTGGGAGTGTGAATGGAGTGGGAAGTGAATGAAGCTGATGAAAAACTTGCTGTGCTCCATAGCAGGGTTAGGAAGTGAAGCTCCTCTGGAGTTCTGCCCTTTTATTTCCACCATCCACAGCTGTAACTCAGCAGTATTAAAGACAACTGTTTGAACTCAGCTATAGACACCTAAGACTTTAGTGGAGAAACACCACTGAAATTAGTTCCATGAACTGACCACTAAAAATTTGTGAATAGAATAGAGACTATGATTACTTTAAGAAAAACACCATGATTCTCTTCTACAGAGATATGAAGGCATGAGAGCAAAACATGACAGATTCACAATGCAGAAGATAACTTTGTTATATATCAATTTGATTGCCATTACAGAGAACACTTGGTGTATTCAAAGGTTTTTCACTTACCTTAAAAAAAAAAAAAAGTCCACAATTTATATCTGAATAATCTGAGAAAACAGTACTAAACAATTCTTTTTCATCCATTCTCCAATCTAAGTTACAGTATGTTGAAATATGGCATGTTTTTATCTTTTTATTCTATCAATAAATTAATTTTCACAGAAATGTTAATATCAACAAATGGGTGCATCTACATTAAATAAAAAAATCCCTTGAAATACATACAGGGTTGAAATTGTGGAGCTTTTGGCACTACAAATCCAGGCCTATTGACATTACTTTCTTGGATAGCGAGCTTCAGCCCTGTGAGCCTCAAGGTGCCCAGAAGAGCAGCAGCCCCGCACCCACACATTGATGAACTGGTGTCTCTCCTTGCAGGGAGGCAGAATGGACTGTCAGATCTGCTGGGCTTCCACCCAGCTAGCCAAGGAGACAAAAACGAGTATGGGAGTTGGCTCCCTTTTCATATTCAAATACTCTCACAATTAACTGCAAGCTTTAAAAGCCTCGTATAAAGCTAGAAATAGTGTATTTTAACTAGTTTCTAAGTTTTTCAGTTCCTCTCACGTGGTATTCTGCAAATAAAATGAGATTGTAAGGAAGTGTGTAAAACTAACTCCATGCACACAAGTCCTAATTTAATTCACAGCTTAAACCGCAGAGGGCAGCAAACAAAAAGAAACTGAGCACTGAAGTCTGCAAATTCCATGCTGCCTGGCAGTTCTAGAAAGGACTCTGCATTCCCTGTTCTACTCAGATCAATACACAGGCAATTGATTTTGTTGGCTTTTGGATTCAGTTTTGCTGATGGACCTTTTTCTATTATCTCCTCTTCTAAGAGACTTGAATCCCTTTGCCTTAAAAACTGCAGTTGGCTTAGTCTCACAAAATATCTCCCAAACTACTGGAATAGGAGGCAAAAGCAATAAAGGATAACCCATTTTTATGACTTGTCAGTCAAACCAAGTCATGTTCCAACACTATCCTTCATCTAGTCATTTAGTAATGTTTTGATTACTTATTGAAAATATGCTACCTAAGACCACCAAGTAACTTCACTCCTTTTGCATAAGATGGTCAACACAACACTGCATCAGCATATTCAAGCATAGAAGAATATGGTCCTTGAAAAAAATTACATCTGCAGTGTCACATGAAGCTTTGCTTGTGCTTGATTTGACACTCACAAATAGACACTCACAGGTAACAACCGAAAGTGTGCATTTAAACTTGTTAGTTAAATGGTTCTTATATGCATGGTCAAATCAGTATTTTGCATTTGCAAATTCAGACACCACACTGAAGCCTATTTAGAACAATGGGCTGAGATGCCTATTGTCAATTTGGTTTTGTCATTTTATTACCTCTAAAGAGTTTGCTTTTGCCTTTTTTTTTGGACTACTTTTAAATAGCTCCAAGTCTACTACTAGATTGACTTAGTCTCTCCATATTTTTATGAGAAGAAATATTTTTTTAATGACATATTAAAACATACCAAACAGAATATTCTAATAACCAGCTTAAGATGTCAAAAGCAATCAAACTCACATATTATAAAGAAAATGTCGAATTTTTCACTACTGGAAAAACCAAACCAAACCAATAGAAGTACAAGCCAAGTCTATTTTTTGGTCTTTGACAAAACATTAATTTTTTAAAATTTATTCTGATCAGTAGAAAATTTGTATACTGAACAAACATTAAAAAATCTAGAACTAAAATTTAACCTTTCAGTTTTATCTGACTAGCACGTGTACTTCTATGCTTAGACTAAAACACCTGATGAAAACAGAGGCAACTATTGCTTGTATCAATTTTATGAAGTCTTTTTTTACAGCAACACTATGATTCTTCCTTACATGCTCTACGGCGGAAATAGAGAAATGTACATATATGAAGGATTTCTTCTCAGATACAAGGTAAAAACTAATACATAATAAAATTTAAATTCATGTTCATGGGAGTAGAATTAAGTTATTATACCACCATACACTTATTTACAGAAGTTAAACATGCATTTTAGGAAACAAATCCATGGTTTGGATGACAGTGGAGAAAAAGAACATTTAATTGAATTGCGGACATTGGAGATGGAAATATACATCAAAACAAGTTATGTACCACCTTACCAGTGTTATAATATTAGAAGAAATAGTAATGTTTCCTGGGCTTATTGAAATAGGAAAAAAAGGAGCTTCATCACCATGTCTTGTAAGAATATTTAATGCCTTAATATCACTTACTTTTACCTGTAATCTCAAAAGACTAATCCTAAGCTTTTACTTTTTGTCGCTGTTTTATACTCTTACATACACAAGTATAAAAGTTCAAATCATGGAAGAAAACACATTAACTTCCTGTTTCATGGCAGAAGGTTGCTACATGGTACAGCAATTTGAAATTACACTCATCCTTTTTTACCCATAACAAAATTAGTCAGTTATCCCCAATCAGTCTATCCATTTAATGTTTATTACTAGGTCAATTTTTTAGACTTATTATTTCTCACATTCTTTTGATCAATGAGGATCTGCTGAATAATATTTCCCACTAAAATTTCCCACTAAATTCCTAAGAAATCTCAATTTCTTATATTGTTCCCATGTTTCTAATCTCCACATTAATTACAACTGATTCTAATCTAGTACCTACATCAAAAAAGGGAATTCTGATCTTTCAAACCTCACCTGTCTTGTTTATTATGATATAAGCTAGCTGTAAAAATTTTAAATTTCAATAGATTATTTTGACATCAAAACTACAATGTTGTGGACGTGGAAATTAACTTATTTCAGAAAAAAACCTTAGGATTTGGAGTGTCATAAAAACTCCCTTTGATTTTTTGTTTTTGACAAAACTAATAAAGTATGAATTTTCAGTTCAGATACTATAAATGTCCATCTTGTGCAATACTAATGAACTGTATTTATTTGACATTCCATGTTTTTATTAATACTTTCAGTATCATCAGAACAAATTTTTAGACATTAGAAATCAAATCTTTTGAAATTATCAAGATGGAAGACTTAAGCAATCCTGACACAGTTGAGAATTTGGAGTTTTCATCTGAATTTGGAAGCAATGCACTGTTTTGAGATGTTAGCTTTTCCTACACACACAGAGAAAAAACTTCTGACCTGCTCTGCTGATCATCCTGTAAGTTGTTAGTTTTGCTTTCTATATCCCATTCAACCAACACAAGGGAAGCAAGTGCTTTAGTGAAACCAAGTATTTTGGTTTTGTAACATGGTTCAAAGAAAGTATCTAAATACATAAAGCTAAAGAGTATCTTTATCAACAGTGGAAATTCCATATTGATAAAACTGCCTGATAAAATGCCTTTTAAATAAAATTATTTGTTAAGTTCATCTGCACAACAGATATTAAACCCCATTTAATTATATTGATTCATTAGCAGTTCCTATAGAAATGCCAATTTCCTCTTTGAAAAATTTATCAGTTCTTCGAGAACTTAATTTCACAGAAAAAGAGCTTGGTGTTTTTATAGCTAACAAAAATCAGACTACTGCAAAGACCACAAAAACAGAGGAAAAGGTGTTTCTCACTGTTGACATACTACATATTCTGAAATTCAGTTATTTCCCTAATTTAATTTAAACTGGCAAAATAAATTCAGTGAACAAGCATGTAATACCTAAGCAAATAATAATCCAGTACCGATTACATAAACCTCTTCTTTAAAACTGGACTCTCTCAACCACTTCAACCTCAGAGTAAAAGACAAAGAAAAGAAAATATTGCCATTGATACATAACAGTTTTCCTAAAATAAGAAAGTCTTAAGACAGAATAAAGGTAAATTGGAAGGGCTGGGTGAATGTATCTTTCAGGAAATGAAAACCTCCGTTGTTATTTTGCAAGCATTAAGCATAGCTTTATCAGACATGCCTGTGAAAAATTCTGTAATTGCAATCATTATTCAGAAAGCAGGAATAAAGGCTTCTAATTATATGTTAATGTACACTCAGTAATCACAGAGTAATTGAGGTTGGAAAGGACCTCCAGAGGTCATCTAGCCCAACATGCTGTCAAAAGTAGGTCTGATCAGATCAGGTTGCTCAGGGCTGTGTTCAGGTGAGTCCTCTCTCGGCAACCTTGACCAGTATTTGACCAAAATCTCCTTAGATGTACAATTAGGCATACCCTGAAAATGCAAATACTTTATTTTTATGCATTAATTAATCAGTAGTATGTGCGGATAATACTACTGAAAATAAGTGCTGGAGATGCATACCAATTCGAAAAAGCAGTTTGCATTAATTCACACTTCTGCTCATTATCCATGAGGTTTGCACAGTGGTGGTTTGTTTTCTTGGAAACACCAGAAGATATAAGTTTAGCAACTAAGCCAAACCCACATTTTCAACACAACCATCAGATAACAGCAATAACAGCAAAGATAAATTGCTGCAAAACTGTATTTGAAAAAGGACCTTCAATATTCCTTAAGTAGTTATTATTAGTAGTAAATAATAAAAAGACAACCTATCTCCAAATCTCTTACTGTATTACCCATTTCACTTATATGTCTTACCGGTCTTTCATGTTCAAGGATTGATGACTTTCCTGGCTCATATTCAAAAATACTTCTTGGTTCAGAACGGAACTTGCGAGTATCTACCTTTCTGTCAGGAGGATCCCAGTCATTTCTAAACAACAAACACAAGCAATTGAGCTAATTTACTGCCATCACCATCTACTTTACAAGTTTGTGCAACAGACACCTGCAAAGCCCAATGAGCTTCAGAATGGTTACTCTTTCCAGATTTCACTTGTGAAATGTCTAGTCTAGTATCCCAATCATCTTAACCAGTTTACAGCAGGTATACTCAGTACAAGAGGAAAAATACTAGAGATGTCTGGCCTTTGTGATCACTCACATTTTTGTTATAACTAGTAGATCAATTTAAAAACTTCCCTGATATACTGTAACAAAATATCACAGCATTGCATGCCACTGCAAATAGCTATAGTTGTTTTGTGCACTATGCTAATATAGGCAAGTGGTAGATATTTTTGGCATCACATAATGTGATAATAATTCCATATTGAAAAAAATATAACATTTTCTGAGACCAAAAGACAGTGTGAAAATCTATTAGATGCTCATTATCCTGATCTGTAGTAGAACTGCTCCTGCATATCCTTGCAAGCAGTGTACTGTTTCCCGAGAAACTTGAATAGATAAGCACGAGGAAGAATTTGGCAGTTGACTTTGGAACAGAAATGTATCCATTTTCTCTATAATTACAAATTTGCTTTCAATTTAATAGTGCTAGGTAAAGAATAAAAAGTAACCCATGCTCCTATATTTTTTTCAATCATTTACTATCTTATATTACTAGATACCTATACATTTTTGGGGAGTAGTTAGCTAATTACAGTGAGAGCTACCTTTTCATGGCAGTTTTTGTCATACCTACCTACATTGTATTTGGAAAACTGTAGCTTACACATACTTTTATTTAGCTCTGAGTAAAATGACCCACTAGTAACTCAAAGGATGGAGCAAAAGGAAGGAGAAAAATTACCAGCTATTGTCTTATTTACTGTAAGACAGAGCACACACTGATTAAATTTTATCAGTTCTACTGGCCTTTCTGATGTGACCTGACATAATGTGACCTGCCTTAAAAAAATCTATGGGGTAGCTTTTGTTTATAGCATACATGCAAGTGCAATTTCTGGGACACGGACACCTCTATTTATAAAGTACCCTATATTTCAAGGGAAGTAGATCTACATGGCTCTATTGTTTATATTCACTGAGGAAAAAAATTACTATGAGAGCAGAAAAGGTATTTTTTGAGAATGAACAGGAAAATGGAAATGTTCTGATCAAGTTGCATTGTACTGCAAGTCACTGAAGAAAAAAGGATGCTACTGAAATTGATTGAAACTCAGTTCACCTAATTTACAGTGTTCAGCCTGTAATCCTGAATAGATTGTATTTTTGAGCCCAAATGTTAATGGAAACCATATCTTTGCTCTCAGCTATACATATGTGATACATATGGACCTAAGCCTCTTATGTGAGATTTCAAATACTCAGGCTTTATAGGCAATTAAAAACTGAATCTACCAATGGCAGGAAAAGAGTGATGAGCTACAGCTTTTGACAGTGGGCAAAGCATAATTAACGTGTTTGGAATCCTCTTGCCTGGAGAACAGAGATTTCCACTGCCTTTCTTATCATGCAGGGAAAGACCAAAGGAAGGCTAAAGAGCAAAATTCAGTGCTGAGCAGTTATTTTCAATCTTGACAAAAGGAACTGCAACAGGCCTCAGTTTCTGTGAGCAAGGCATTTGGCCTAGCACAGGACGATGACTCATATAACTTCAGAGTTCAAAGTTAAGTAGATTCACATTTTGGTGCCTTGCTAAAAAATCTACACTTCTCCTATGAACTGCTAAGAAAATTCAAACGTCACGGCCTTTGGGAGGCAGCTCAACTCTAACCTTTAGCATTTCCTCTTGACAATCTGCCCTTGGCAACAGGGTAGCCAAAATCAGTAACCATCAAGCAATCTCATCTTCCTCTGCAATATATCTGCTGAATTACATTTTAAATTGCCACTACCTACAAAGTTTTCAAAAAACCATAGTTATGGTCTTAATTTTAAACACCTAGTATGGTCTTTCCTCATAATATTTTATTCAAACTACTTACTATTTGAAGATGCTTAATATAATTAAATTTCTACATATTAATACGTTTATAATGTTTGAGCTGAAAAAAATGGGCAAATTCTGTTCTGTTGCTTGAGTGTAACCAAGACAGGTAGGCTTGTAGGCACAAATTAAAGAAAAAAAATTGACCCCTTATATATATATATATATATATATACATACACACACACACATAAATGTATAATAACTATGTTGTATTAACATTCAGTATTAATGAATGTAAACACTAAAGAAAAAGGTTTTTGCTTGAGCTAGTATCCAGAGATATGCTGAAATCTACAGAGTTTGTGTGCAGGTCACTTGCATGGTTTTAGCAAAAGGATAAGCACTTATTTCCTGAATTATTAATTATTAACTTTTTCCAAATTGGACTCTAACCACAGGGATCTGGCTTTGTGCAACACATTTGGAGCTGGAAAGCCATGAGAGACCTGAAATACACTTTTAATCTGTCTACACTATCTTGGGCTACCAAAATGGAGGTTGAAAAAAATGTAGATATAAAGTACTTCTGAGCTGTGGGGAAACGTGTGTTGACTGCTACACTCTTACAGTTTTGCTCTTCCTTGACTTTCAATTTATATCATCTTTTTGATCCTTTGTTTTTGCTGCTGGATACACTAAATGGCATTTCCTACTCAGAAACTAACTATTGAAGACAGCTGCTAGAGCACAGACTAAATCACAACATACAAGACAATCCCATTAATAATAATAGAAGTGTTAAATGCTCATGGTCATACCACTCGTAAGAATAAGCACTTCTTCGGCACACTGAAGAAATGACAGCACCATGCATGATGCCCAGACTACGGGTGAAGATTACCCCTCATCACCTGACTGTCCCCTGAATAAAGCCCTTGAAGTCATATTATTCTATAGCTGCTATTTTATCCTTGTTACATTCTGTAATTGGAATACCATACATACCAAGAACACATTTTGAAAATAGGCTAACTTACTTTTCTGGTGTAGACCTTTGCCTCAGACGATGTGGGGGTACTGGAGGTGGCACATGTGGGGGTGGTAAAGGGGACGAGACCTTAAAGGCATCGGAGCTACTGTCAGAAGCGCTTTTAGACAAGGGTCTGTACGTCTGTGTCTTTGCAGCTGGATGTGCCTGAGCAGAGAAGGATGGACTGTAGCTACCTAATATAAAACAAACCCAGAACAGTCATAGCATGAGAATGTGTTCCAAAAAAACGCAACATAGAATGCGTTACAAGAACCCACAGTAACTCAATAAAGCTGCAAGGTTACAAAATGTGTAAATGCACCTTCTAAAGTACATTGTTGTGTACTATGTAGCCCATTAGAAAACTCTGTACATATTTCTCTATAAAACTACAAACACACAGACAAAGTGCAGTATAGTTAAAATAAATTCATTATTAATTTGACTGGAAGAGAAGTTAATGGGTGTATATATCCATCCATCCATCCACAACTGTTAATGACAGCCTGTAATTAATCCCCAGGCTCATCCTGTCAGGAAGAGAAGAGGCAGGAAACACACCTTTTTTTCATTGTTTTAATAATTAGTTAGTCTGGGACAATGAGGCAATAGCATATCTTGAAGAGGAACACAAGAATACAAAGAGATGTCAAACCACTGACTCATAACAAGTGCTCTCAACAGCACGGAAAAAGGCACTACAGAGAGCATGTCAAAAATTGGACTGGAAAAATTCTGAATGGCATTTTTGCAGAAGGCACTATGGATTTTTTGCACATAGTCTATTCATGCTTTCATTTTTGTTTATTTTTGTAAACAATTTTACCATATGGTTATAATCCTCTGAAAGACACAATGATTTTATATCTTAGATGAATGTCTTTTCTTGAAGCTAAATAACATCCATGCCAGTGCCTATAGCAAAAATGGTCAAGATCATAAAACAGAATCAATTTTATTAGGCACTCTTACTGCATATTTTTAAGGTGTTTCCATTATGTCCTTTTTATCCTTTCATGTCAGTAATTAGCGTTTGCATTTTCACACAGTAGTTCCCTTTCCATTTTCATAAGGAAAGGCCGTGTTACTCACAATCACTAGTGAAAAATAAATGCAATGTAATCAAGAAACTACAGTATTACAGTGTTTTCCATCTGCAGTGAGAGGCCCACAGCTGCAATTCATTTCTGTGGTAAGAATTAAACTAGAATTAAACTAAAATTAAACTTGTTTCATTTGCGGGAAAAAGGCATGAACAACTGAGATGAAGCATTATAAAAGCAAGCATGAAGAGTTATCTACCCCATTACTTGCTGACATTAACAAAAGACTAATTTTGAACAGGGAATAATTCCTACCAGTACCGTATGCATATGCAGTATTATAAAAGTCCGCGTCGTCATCTACAAAAAGAAATACATACATTACAGTCGTGCCATACACGCCAGTTTATCCTAGAAATGCAGCTTTGTTTTTGCAAAAACAGACAGAAGATCAGAGGCACTGAAGCACTGTATTTCTTTTCCTCATCTCATAAGCGTTTTCGGAAGACTCTCTCTCTCCCCATTTTACTTACCATAGGCTGTTTTTACCATCTTATTTCTAGAATGGCATCTTCTGGTCATGTTACCAACATTGCATACTTACTAAGTTAAAACCAAATTGCAAATTATAGATTTTTATTTGTTCTTTTCCCTTCCCCAAGCTCAATTTCTTCCTTTTGTCAGCTCTCCTCTGCTAGAGACTGTTAATTGTCGTTCCTATCACAAAAATCAAGCCCAAATATCTACGTGACTAGTGTTCAAAATAGGTCTTGTAAGCCAACATTTTCCTGCCTACATTTCTTATTCTCCCACTAACAGTCTGTGTAACCATACTGAATGTTAATTCTACCTCAGACAAACGAAGTCTCCTTCCTTCTGGAGGTGTAATAAGCACTGTTGGCATTTATACAGTTTCTTGGCATCCTTGGTGACAACCATGATAAAGGATATTAACTTTAAAGATACCAATGTCACCAAAGTTCCATTTCAGCAAAACCAAGTAAGATATTCTAGGAAAACAATTAAATTCAAGCCCAAAATTTATCCCCAAACCAGCCTGTGCTGTTCTAGCACTGGAGCTCTCCAAAAGGAGATTTACAGTGGCCAACTTCTCATCCCTAAAACTGGACATGAGGATCACTTCACTGAGCTCCCCAGTGAGATGGTAATCATGCTAGTTGCATACCTATCCTAATAACTTTAATTTTATTTAGTTCTAGGAATAAAATAAACCCATTAGAAATTGTCAGCCTACACCAGAGGAAAACAGCTCTCTCCACAGTAAAAACTATCACTGAATTTATGAATTAGATTTGATTCATTATCTGACACTTGGTGAACTCTTGTATTTTCACGTAGCAGACAATCAAAATGCAGAAGAATGCATATTTTAATATGAATGAAAAACCATCTAGACAAAACAAAAACATACTCACCAGGTTTATGAACCATATGGATTTGCTTGAACATTGTCTTGTACCAATCCTTTGGCCTGTCAACTGTCTAAAGAAAATACAGTTTTAACAATTAACAACAAAATCAAAATACCTGTGTGTACAGATATGAGCAGACATTTAATGCTATTCTGGACAGAAAGTCTATTGTATTTTGTTCTCTATTTATTATAATCATTTTCATATCATGTATTTCAAATGGTGTATTTATGCTTTTCATCTAGGAATTCCTGTAACAAATTCTGGAAGACACTGAAGACTGAGTCAGTCTTGGACTCTGACCTTGGGAGGGTACAATGGTTAGGAACATAGGAATTAATGTCAACATCAACAGTCTTAGTGCCCTATATGTGACAAGGATGAATGCTAGATTCTTTACAGGAAAATAAAAACACCTCAGCAATTATGATTACAAGCATGTAAGAAGGGCTTCTTTTGAACTCCTGGCAATTTTCAGCTTAAATCATCTCCAAAATCTAATTGTTAAATAATGCAGAAAGACTCTGGAATGCTACTGAAAAAAGAATTAAGATCACACTACATTTAAGAGTTAATGTTTGGATTGTAAACAAAGAGTAGTCCTTTTCTCAGTTTTAAATGCCCTTTCCAGACAACTTATTTTTAATTTATTTTTCTGTTTCAATAATCACTCATTAAATGATACTTATCCTTACTTTTGCAAACTAAGTAATTCTGAAGTTCCCAAATTCTGCTCATATCAACATCTGTTCGTGCTTCTTTTCATCTCTCACCCTTCTGCATTTTCTCTTTTGCAGTCATTTTCTTTGAGGTAGGATGATAATATTTCAGAAAAGAATTAACTCAAAGGCAAATATGTTTTCAGTATTTTTCTCCTTAAATTTTACTTGTCTCTCAGTAGTCAGAAAAGCAAGTACTTTAATGCAGAGAATCAGAGAATGCTTTGGGTTGGACAGGACCTTAAAGGTCATCTAGTTCCAACCCCCCTGCCATGGGCAGGGATGCCTTTCACTAGACCAGGTTGGGCAGAGCTCCATCCAGCCTGGCCTTGAACACCTTCAGGGATGGGGCATCCACAACTTCTCTGGGCAACAAAAAACCCTCAACTCCCCCCAAAACCAACCAAACAAAAAATACAAAATTATTTTCAAACCTCATGGTGCACAGGGATAATTCGAAAGACCTCTCTCGAAGTGCATTATCTTGCAGTAGCTAACACTAAATCTGCAATCACTTTGCTCACTCCTCTTTGCCTTGAAAAGTGAAAATCTACAAATTCTTTCCTACAGAATACTGGACAGATCTGAGAGTGATCACCTGGCTCCATGTCATCTTTACTAAATCACACTTTTACCCTAAATACTTGTTACAGCTACTATACATAATGCATCTGTTTTGTTAACAATGGTGAGCTCTTACTATTAAGGGACTAGCAAAAATGCTCCCATATTTTGAGGACTCAATATAAGTTCTCATAAAATTGCTATTAAATAACATTTTAAAAGTGTTTAAAACAAGAGGTGACAGTTGAAGAACTGGGAAATCTGCTGGGTAAGAAAAAATTTAAGCAGGGGTTTATGCTTTTTATCTAGACCTGCTTGCAAGATAGAGATGAAGGAGATACAGCTTTGTCTCAAGATAGGTCCCTTCCTCACCAATATTGCTGAGTTCTGCCAAGAGTAAGATATTCAGAAGTGGATTTGGACCATTTTAACATTGTTTCCCTAAAGGTATTAAACATCTATACTAGTGGAACTCTGGTAAGAGTAATTTAGCTGGATTTGAAACAAGTATGCTGTTTGGTGCTCCAGGATCATATATACTCAAAAGTTTACAAGGAAGTCCAGGAGGTCTGAAGGAATTCACACTGATAGGCATAACCTCCATGCTACTCCTCATTTCCCACAGCAACAGAAACCTGCAACAAACAGTCCCACGACATTGCAACTGCATTTCTGATTGTATTGGGCCAAGAAGAGTCTTTCAATCAGTGGTAGGTGAATAGATAGCAAATAGTGCATAAATACTACTACTATGCCCCTACTGTTTGTCAAGTCACAAAGGTCCATCGATATCTCTTTGCTGGATCCTTGTCATGTCCTCCATAAATATACAAGAGGCTCCCACACAGCGATCAGGTATGGAGAAGCTCCCACATGACCAGAGAAGAAGGTGTCCCAACACCTTTCTGGACATTTGAATATTTCTTTCAATCATCATCTCCCTCCCATCCATCTCCTTGGGGTTTCAAGCCTCAGCCAATAATTTGTCTTTAAATTATAAGGCAGATATGATTACTTAAGAAATACATTAATTTTGAAGTATATTTTCTCAATTTATATTCACTAATCCCACACACCAACATCGTTGGAGAAATTAACAATATTCACAATGCACCAAGCCATTCAGATGCCATCATGCTTTGCATACATTATAGCTGATGCAATTAAATATTGGAACATGGTACCATCATATATGAAAAAACAATCAGCCAAATAGCATGAAGAGGAGATAAGGAGTAACTGCAGTTGGTTCTTAGGAGAGTCTGTAATTACCATAGTGTTGTAATTATCCATCAGGAAATATGCAATTAAAGGAGGCATTTATGACTTTCAGTGGAACTTTGGTGGTTTTGTTTGGTTTGGTTTGGTTTGGTTTTTTCCCAAACTGAAATACTACATCACTAAGTATCAAAAAGAAACGTGGTAGGACTTTATTCTTTTTTTTTTTTTCATTCTTAGTAAATAGAGGCCTTTTCAGTCTACAGATTAATTTTGACAGTTCACAGAATCACAGAATGACAGAATATGGTGAGCTGGAAGGGACCCACAAAGCAATCATTTTGGATAAACTAAAACAGCATAGTCTTACTGCTTTCCTTGAATCTGTTTTTCCCTTAACCTAGGACCCTGTTGGTAGCAAACTCTGGTGGTGTGTAAGGTCTTAAAGAGCACAGTTGCCTGTCTCAAACACTGTCAAGCCCACAGAAGGAACTTGCCATAAGATAAGCCACCACAGTAGGAACTTGAGATAAACACAGAAAGGAGGTGCTAATCCCAGGCCCGGCAGAGGTGAGGTCTGGTTAGCACATCCTGGTTAACTCATCAGGAGAATAATTCCCACTGTGGCAAACTGTGGGAAAGGAAGCAACAGCTCATACACATATCACCTCAAGTCATGGGAACAGCATGTGCGACCATCCTGTGGATACCCGGAACTTGGACTGTATAAAGGTGGAAGGTGTTCCCCCAGAGGAACAACTCTGGGACCTCCACCACCAAGAAGTCCAGGGTAAAGAAGGACCAACAGGATGCCGCTGGATCCATGGGTGGTGACTGTGCTGTGCTTGATCTCTCTCTCTCTCTCTTTCTCTCTCTTATTCCCTCCCCCCTCCCACTCTTTTCTATTTCTTTCTATCTCTCTACCTCACATTTACTGTTACATATAATCCGTAATATTGATTTCAGCATATGGTCTTGTTTGCACCTTAATTCATGCAGAGGCATCTCTCACTAATTGGATCATAACATGGTGTCATTTGACTGAATGCTTTTCTGAGCGAAGAGCATCTTACCCTCTCTTTTCTGAAGACTTCATTTTTAATTTTACCTTCTCTGGGGCAGGGCTTGGCACAGCAGCAGAACTTAACAACGATCTGAATTTTCAGATTTGTACTTCCCAGACCTGGCAGGAGCTGAAGTGGTATAGAAGGAACATGCTAACATGGGATGAGCATTCTGAGAGAATGGAAAGCTCTCATTTCTCTCTCAGCAGCTTTGGAGGTTCGGAGAGGTGCGGAGAGGAGATCACTCTGTTTTCCTTGGCTAAACAGCTGTCACAAACTATGTTCTGAGAGTAGAAACAGACTTGTAGGAGATAACCACAGCTTGAAAAACTGCTCTGCTTCTGAAAAGCCATCAAAGTCTGGAATACAGATTCTCTTCAGTTCTTATTTACATGCTTAACTTTGAGCAGCATAGCATTTAGGAACACACTGTGTGTGTGTTACCTATCACCATGAATCTGCATTTACTGCTTTTTTTGATACACTGTTGCCATTTTTGCAAGGATCGAAGAAAAAGAAACTTTTAAACCGCTTGAAATGATAAATTCAACTAATTTGAAAACTTATTTCTCTCTCCAGATGGAGTGAGGCTAAACTTTTTGGGAGAAGACTCCTATTTGGATTACTCACTGACCTTGAGAAAGAGAGGGTGATTTATCCTACCTTCTCCTATTCATGGAAAACGCAGTTTTAGCATTTTGCAAGGCACAGCATATTTGAGTCTTTTGCTGACAGCTATACCAACTTTGTTCTTGCATGATTGGGGTACACAGGGCTCAAATACACTTGTCCACATTTAAAAAGTAATCTCAAATCAGTATCTTGAAAACAATTTTACTACCAGCTAAGTCTTAAGAAAGTAGAATAAGGACACAAAATGGCATATCAGACACACACACACACACACACCACACACAAGCATAATCTTTTAACTTATATCTCACTGTGAGAATTATTTCTATAACACTGAGATTACAGGCTATAAGATATTTTGAAATTGAAACATAACAAAACCCAGCAAATCCAGTGGAAAAATGTCGTACTTCAAATTGCATTATATTTTCAAGAGAAAATCTGAGAGACTCAGATCATACAACCTGAAAGTTAAATATAGGTTGGAAGATTGCTAACTCGGTTAGGCACACTTAAGGGGGACTTCTGTTATAATCTCATATAATCTATATGCACTCTATTAGAAAAATCTACTATTTAAAAAGTACAAAACCAATTACTATATCCATTATAAATCATAGGGACTATTTACTTAAAAAGGGGGCAGGAAGCTAGAGCATTTTGGAAAGAAATTTCTTCATTTTTAAAAGATTCTGATCTTATTACCTTTTTATGCCAAAATAAAGCAAGAAATGCCAGAATTTCCCCCACATTGAAAAAATTGTCCCGATCTTACCACTTATTCTGATTTTTTCCTATTGCTTTTCTCCATCAATTCCCGATTTTCCCCCTAATTTTTCAATCCAGTGAAGCAGTTCTTGGCAATATACAACACAGCCCCATATGTCAGTATTGGCAGAGAGGACATATCCAACAGCTGCTACATCCTTGCACCTCTCAAAGACTTCACCTGCAAGGGCTCTGCTGCTTTCATCCTGGCTCCCACTCTTCTTACTCTTTCTCCGTACAGCAGTTCTTCTCTGGCTGGGAAGGCCAGTAAGCACTTCCTTCACAGACCTAGTGCAGCTGCCACTGTGCTCTCTGGAGCAGCCAGAAGAGGCTGCCCTGACAGCAGAGTGGAAAGAATGCTTCAGCATAGTGAAAACAAAACTCTTCAGTTTGACATCCTGGGACCACTCAAGCAGTGACTAGCGGCAGATGATCAAATTGGGCTAGTTACAATGAAAGGGCTTCCACGCTATTTGTTTATGTGCCACTCAAGGGCACAATGATTATTGATTGCACTCCCATGAAAATGCTACTCAGATTACTTTCAGAACAAAACTATTCATTTCTGTGCTATCCTGATGACACAAGAACCACTGCTCAAGAAATGCAGAAGCATAATATTTTTACATACACACACATATGAATATATGAGTACTTGCATACACACACACATACATATATACAGTATGTATAAACATTATTTTAGAAATAACAAAACAAATGCAACATTATGTATCTCCAAAAGGCAAGAACTAAAACAGAAGAAAGACACAAAATTTTGGCTACTTCTAATTAAAACTAGAAACATGAGGTTGTCTAATTATGCTCCCATCAGCATTCTCCTTTTCTGTCAACACACAATATTATATTCATGAGCTCGCTGATTACGCACACTGTATTCCACATTATATAAGAGTGGAAGAATGTGAAAAACCCATTACCAACAATCAGTTCATTGTATGAGTTCATACACAGATTTCCCAGAATTTCCTACCGTTCTAATTGCTGTAGGGATTCCAGATTCATCTACCGGGCCAATCCCTGCATAATGTGGAGCTTTAATTACTGTAATTTTTTTTTCTTCTTCTGAGGTTCTACAGATTGGTATTGTACTGGTGGTGGTGCTGCTGCCAACATTCTGAACATGCTGTGAGTATGTCTCTGTGGACTCTGTAAAGATAACATGACAGAATATCATGTGATGACACAATAATCATATTTGGCAGTTAAAACACACTTGCCCATTTCAGTATGCTGTACAAAGATTGACAACCTTTATCACATACGTATACAACATTTTTAAAAGAAATATCATCTTAACTAGGGCTTTGCCCTACTTAGTATTCCATTAATAAAATTATAAATTTATATAATGACCAGACAGGCTACTCAACTCAGATCTTATTAGATTAGAAGTACTTTTTCACAACATCTTGTTCACAAAAAAGAGAAACCCCCCCACAAATGCAGCAGAATCTATTGAGAAAGGCGCAACAGCCTTTCTCTTACAAATCAAACTCTTGCACCTTTCCTACTCATTCCCTGGAAACTAGTGACATAATTTCAAAACTTCCACTCCCCCACGTTTAGCAAACTATAGAAAATAGCTGCCCTGCAAGCATATCAAACAGCCCTGCACAAGAAGTTATGCGATATGTGCTTAGAAACATTACGTTTTGATGCGTGAATATTTGTAAGAAATAAATTTATGTTGATATGTTTATGTGCCTCTACATATAACCCATAAAAATGGACTTGAGTAACTTGGTACCTGTAGAGCAATCTGATGATCCACCTACAGTGATTCAGGTGAACTGTGCAGGCTGCTACTGGTTTGTAGTGACTTGCAATATTTCTACCCTTCTCCTTCAAATCTACCCTTATAATTAATGAAATTAATATCTCACTATTACCATTTCCTTCTAAAATTCAGAGTAATTTATTTGACAAAAAACACCTCAGTGCTGGGATGTGACATGAAAATTTGTACTGCTGCAGATTATGCACTTCTTTCCTGTATACAGGAAGAAGAGCCCTACTCCTCAGGCAGCAGGTTTCAGTAAATTAGTGGGCTGCTGTGACAAAGCCTCTACTCTGCAAGAGCAGGTACAATGAGACATTTCCACTGCAGGATAAATGAATGCACGGAGTAAAAATATACATTCTAACACCAGTGGTAACAACTACAATTGCCTTTCACATGACATTAACATCCACTGATTATTCTAAAGAAAAATAAATTAATTGTAATATGAATCAACAAAAGGAGGTCTGGTTACTGAAAGCTCTAATTTTAAATTGAGTATTTCTGCTCACTCCCACTGCAGAGCTGGATTTGGCATGGCTGTTTCAGCTACTTACTCAAGTCTGAAATCCTGTAAATAATCCAGTGCTCCACATATATGGCAAGGGGCAACTCCGTGTGGCAAATAGATATTCAGAACTTTTTCCCAAAAAGCATGATGTTAAATTTAGAAAACATTTTGGATTTGATCCTTCATTCTTCATAGGTCTCAAACTGAGGCCATCAGGGGGATTTTTACATGAGTAAGGAGAATTAAATCAGGCTGTTACTGTGCAACACTGAACTTCAGCATCATGCAAGAGTGAAAGTTATGGGAAAATACACATTTCATGTATATCCAACCACACTGATAAAGCCTTATATCGTCAGACTGGGAGCAGTCAAAAAATATAGAATTCTGGGATGTGGAGAAACCCATGTATACAGTTTTTGTACTTATCATGATGACGATAGCAGCATTTGTCTAAGCTGTAAATCTCAGAGTGAGAACTGTCACCTAATTTTCCTGCAAGTACAACAAAAAAATAAACTCTAGGATCATATTCAAATTATTTTGCATGTATAATCTTATCTGAATACGCAAAACACTGGTAGAAAAAGCAGCAAGCAAATGACTCTTCTGGCAAAACTCGATTATACTGGCAAAGAGCCTTTAAGCCTTTCTAAGGCTGATAATGTTTGGTTTGGCTATTTTTGTTTAGTCTTTTTTTTAAAATAACAATGTCCTAAAAAAATACACAAACAAATTTTAGATTGACAAGGCTTTAGGTATTCAAAAGCCCAGAGCCCCACCTTTATTGGCAGTATTTCTACTGGAGATCATGGAAGTTGTGGGGAGGACCAATGTACAAAGCTGGTCCTCGGGTTTCTTAAGGCAAAATCTGAAGGGGCTGTACAGGTTGAGCTATTTTGATAGATTCCCTTTCCTCAGTAAAGCTAAAGCTGGCAAGAGGTTACATTCACACACCTAATAGCAACGTCAGTTCAGGATCACTACTGTATCTAACAATAAATGCTATTATTTTTTGCATTTATTTCCCAAGGTAGATGAATAGACAATACCTTCATTATGGACGTGAAGCACTCCACAATTGTTTGCAGTCTTTGCCACATGAATTGGAATATGCTGTGTAATGTATAAAGCAAATATTCTGTGTGAGGCTTACCCATCATCCTGCCATGCTGCATGATAACAATGTTGGAATTGAGCGAAGCTGGTGGAGGGTAAGCTGAAGAAGGGGAAAAAGGCCTTTGAAAGTGACTCACTGGGCTGGCAGCAGTGCCAGAATTCCCATTCACTGTGATCTGAGCCTGAGAGAGACAAAATAATAACCCATTAAACTACACACAAAGCCCTCCGACTGCCATCCCAAAGAAAGAGTGATGCAAGACTGTCGTCCACGCAACAATTACCAGTTGTCAGGTACATAGCCATAATGGCATCTGCATTCACTGAAACACAAAACTTATCACAAAGGGAGCAGAATGTGTTCCTTATATACCTTGTACCACCCCTCTTCTCTCCTTGTATGCGCTGTCTGTGACACATGCTGTCATAGGAAGGTGACAGAAAGATCACAGTCAGGGCAATGAAGATGGCACAAACAAAGTTTGCAGGGGTCTGAGAGCAATATAAAATGAAGATGGCAGTAAAAGTTCCTCTCGTGTGAACAAAGGCTGTCTGCCAGAGATCCTCACACCAAGAGACATATTCCCTTAATGCACATGCTCAAGCACTATTGATATTAATGGGAACTTCTGTGCAGATCAAAGGGAAAAGGCCCATTAGGACTAGCTAAAAAGAGTGAGAGAAAGTTACTTTAAACAATGGAATTCAGCCACAAAACAACAGAACAAAATCAAATACATAAAATGGGAAAGCTAAGCAAACTGGCAATAAAGCAGCAAGCACCAAAAGCCATTTAGGCTTTAGTCACAAGAGGTACCTCAGAATCCCTACATCTGGTCTGTAGCACTTTTATGAGGAGTATTGCAAGAATTAAAACTGAGATATTGACAAAGCATTGAATGAAATAAGAGGGTAGTGAATATTTCAGCAGAAGAAGGAGGAAAGTTCTCTGTAACATCTCTGTTAATGCAGAACTCTTATTTAAATCTGAATAAATTTAGAACTATGTAGCAGCCAGCAGCCAAACTCTGCTCAATTTTATATAACAAAAGAACTGAAAATGTAAACAAGAGACTATCTGAAGCGGTAAAGCATAAGGATAAAATGTATCAAAAGGCATTTTTTTTTAATATATGAAAATAAAAGGGTTCATGACCTTTTGTATACATTTGTATTTTGGAGATTACTGATTTGAAATTTTTAACATCTTGGCCTCCCATAGCTAAGAAAGCAAAACAATTTCTGGGTCATATGCAGACATCATGTGAACTCCTAGATACATTTAGGGGTTTCAAGGATGCCATTTTTCAGAAGTGACCTGGAAAGTTTCTGTTGTGGTGATGTCTCCATTGAAACTTTCGTGTTTACATGTTTCTTCTCTTAATGAAGTCTAGAATCGAAATGTAAACTAAGTTGTCTTTTCTCACACAATTCTCCCCTCAAAAAAACCCCTTGAAGCTGTCAGAAAAGCTACATAACCTCAAAGATAGCATTTCAAGAGGTATAAAGGCATGTTTTCAGACCAGGTTTCAAGATGAGGCCAGTCATCTCTCCCCTGCTGCAGGGGTTCACCCATTTTCTTTTCCTATTGTCTTTTTATATATTGTCTTTTTGAGAAAGCTTGTTTCTAGGAAAGGCAGGGCACAACTATGTGCAGAGCCTTATGCCTTCTCAATCATTTACTATGGTTTTTGTTTTTCTGAGCAGAACTAGTGCAAGTTCTTTATAGATTGGAAATTTACTCCTATGAATTTCTGTAATTAAAATTCGAGATATTCCTGTGAAGGACTTTACCAAATAGCTCAGTTAGATAGTAAGGCTCACTAAATAGTACACAATATCATGAAAACAGGATCCACAAAAACAGTTGACGGACAGCAGTCATAAATGTGGCATGTTCATATATAATATTTTTGGGTTTGCTTCTAAAGGCTTTAGAGAGGATCTCAGCTCAGCTATGACTTCTTAGTTCCTAAGGACTTTCTCTCTGAGGAAAGTTTCTGTGAAGGTGGCTATTCAATTTATCTGATGCATCTTGCACTGTTGATAGGGTTAGCTACAGAAGATAGTTTTGCAAAGTTTCAAAGGCTTTTCCTTCTGTTGGAATCATTTGGAAGTTACTGACGTTTCAGTCTGAGAATGTGATGCTTTAGTTCCAGGTGACAGAGCTTATTCCCAGATTTTGAAAGGAAGTGAAATCCTTTAAGATGCCTATTCATGAATTAGACCTTTTACTTTCCTAGGAATCTACTTTGTGGGAAAATAAGACAATACAGAAAAAAACCTACTTCACCAAAATGCACCTATTTTCCAATTTTCTGGGAAGATAATCCTAACGTTTCATGATGTTCCTTTCCCTAGGCACCTCCATTAATTTTTTTCTCTAGTATACATAACCTGTCCTTCACTGCTAGTAGAGAGCCACCTACTTCTGCTGCTAGATAATCAAGCACTTGTAAAGATTCCTCCTAGGTATGAGGTTTAAAATTCCTGTAGGTTGCCTGAGCATTAGAAAGAGCAGTTCTCTGGACTTCTGAATTAGAACAGAGAAATGCATCCATCTGGGACTGGATCTGCTTTCTAACTTTCCCTCTGCTGAGACAGGTAACAAGGAGAAAGAGGTCCCATTACGGATGTCTGAGCAGTTCTGTGCAAGAATGCTACACAGCACATCACTGACTTCAAGACACTGAATTAGGTTAAAATCCTCAGGATCAATTCTTGAAGATCAAAACAGCTACAGAACTTTGGAAGAGGCAAAGATCTAATGTGTACAAGTTTCCATTAGATTTCATAATTTCAAACCACAGAAACAAAAAGAACCCATGAAAAGTACAGGGAAAATGTCCATAACTGGAATAGAATCTTTTGCTTGGAATATTTTGCAATTTTGCTTATTCAGCTCTTCCTGATACTGCTTCTTCTTCTTAGAAGAGTTGGTTTAAAACTTCTTTGCCTAAGCTCTCATTAAGAAACTCAAGAGTAAAGAAACATCCCCAGTGTAGACAGAAAAGTCTTTGAAAGTGGGTACAGTGCTGGACAGCCCAATCCTATATTACTTTTATCATTCTCTCAGTGGTTTTCATCTAAAAAAATCAACAACAATCTCCTTTGAGAATGAAGATCATTACAGGAGCAGAGCCACTAGCAACATATATGTGTGTGCCACCAGCTTCCCCATCATTTTGTCATTTCATGAATGCATTTATAGCCATCTGGCCCTCCTCTACAGAGGGTGGGAGATGAAGACTTTCTATACTGCAGAGTTGGGTCTTGCCAGCAGTTTAATTTCTGTGGGGCTCTTAGGATGTAGGGCTTTTTGGGGACTTGGTGGGAGACTCATCCTTTCAGTTTGTCCATCAGTGGTGAACAGCTGTTATGCTCATCCCTGCCATGTCTACAAGAGAAAGTGGTGGTCAGATCTGACTATTACATAGCCTTCTACAGGGAGACTACACAAAAAAGGAAAGAAGGACCAAGTGTTTGCTTTAGCTTGCAAAAAATGGTGCTCAAAGAAAACAAATAGAGGTAGCTATTTTAGAAGTAGGCTAGAAGAAAATATAAATGTTCCATGCTTCCCATAGCTCGTAAATGGTCATGCAGTGACCGTGTCTGACCAGTCTGTACTAATAATGGTATCTTTGGTTACAACTACTGGGTTGTATGCAGATTCATAGTACTGATTCTAAAAAAAATAAAATGGTTTCAGAGCTGTATTACAAGAGTTGGGAATTACAGCTTTTACATGCCTCCTATTAATATTACTTTTTTAGCAGCATCCAGAGCACTGAAAACAGATCATTGACTTTCCAGGTGACTACGTGAAAGGTTGGGCTCAAAATACTTTTTGTAAAATATATATGAAGCTTTAAAAATATATGCACTGTTTGTTCTTTTCAGACTTGAAAATTACAGTACACTGAAGCATTTGTACAAAGTTTGAACACTGGTGTGACCCAATAAAACTCTGGATTCAGAACATCTCTCTGTTTTGCAATTCAGCAACAAATTGCTCAATTTAAATGAAGGCTTTGTTCTGACTCATTTTAATCATGTGGATAATCTCAAAAGAAATCAGAAGTGATCTGGATTTGACCCAAATTCCATATCTTCTTTCTACACATATAAGAGTGTACTGAGATACAGAAAAGGGAATGTACATGAAGTGTCTAACTGCATACTGTTTGTTTTCCTTGACTTAACAAAGAGAAGAGGACAACTGGGTAATACAAGACTATTTATGAAGTTCAATCCTATAAGAAACTGTGCTTAGGAGAGTAAAAGGTTAGTTAGAGGAGATAAAACCAGTTTCATGCAATCGGTGGTCACAGCTGGGGAAAAAACTGCATTAAATGTTTCCAACATTTACTATGAATTTACAAATTACATTACTGATATCTGTATCTCAGTATAAACCAAAAATGGTGGTAGCCCAAAGGCTACAAACATATACAAATATACAAGCCAGTATATTGCTAACAGTATTTTAAATAAATCTCTTCAAACTGTACTTGCTTGCTTTTGATGCATTTGGAACAGATATTTATTGAACTTAACTTCTTTTACTTTAAGCAATGTGTTTGATACACCTTAGCTGACCACACAAGTGTGTGACAACTTAATATCATTTCCTACTACCAAATCTGATACGCCAATGATTTTTTTTAAACAACTGTTGCAAAACACTGTCAGACTGCATACATGGAAAACTAACAACAAAATACTTGTATGTGTAACAGGATAACAGACAAGTTCGAATTCTGTTCCCCTTTGACAACCTGTTTGAACAAAATGGATGAGGAAAAAAGGAAGCATAATTACATGAGAAGTGGCAGCAGTGTTGGTTAAGGTGGTGCCATCTGACACAGCAGACATCTGGCTCAAGGTTGGGGAAGGTGTTTCAGAGCAGTCAGTAGTATCATAGCTACAAGTCTGCAGCTCATCTAGAATGGCTGTGGAGGACTCACTCACTGTGCGGGAGGAGCACTCACTCATGGCAGAATCTGTGCTTACAGAGGCTGTTTCATTCCTGTGGATAATACTTTCAGAAGCTAGGTATGGGCATTTATATGAAAATTGTGAAAGGGCTGGGGTTTTATAAAAATGTGAAGGCAAAAAATCATCAAGCGTTGGCAAAGAATATGGTACTAGATGGGTGCTACTGTCTGGTGAGAAAGAGGCT